AGAAACGTGCCAGGCAGTGATTCCCAAGCTCTTTTCTCCAAGCTTCTTTGGGCTTTACTGGCCAGACTGTGCCCTGGATATCACACTGATCCCCTCCTACACAGGTGTGCCTCAGTCTAGGCCCCAGCATCCCCTGCCTGGATCACTGCTCCCCATGGCCTCCCTTTCTAAACCCCTCCTACAAATGCCACTTGTACCCAAAGCTGCTTTCTTTCTTTTTCTTTTTCTTTTTCTTTCTTTCTTTTTTTTTTTTTTTTTTTTTTTTTTTTGTCTTTTTTCATTTTTATTGGTACCAGGGATTGAACTCGACCGCCTGCTTGCAAGGCAGGTGTTTATGCTGCTGAGCTAAATCCCCAGCCCCCCAAAGCTGCTTTCTTGAGGTAAATCTGCCCAGGTGCTCTCCCAGACCAACATTCTTCAGGATTGTGGTGGTGAGTTTCATGTCATCTTGGCTAGCCACAGCACCGACATCTGGGCAAACATTATTCAGGATGTTTTGGTGGAAATCTTTTAGATGAGATTAACATTTGTATCCTGTATATCCAGTAAAATGGTAACCCTGCATAGACAGGTGGGACTCACCTAATCAGTTGAAGGCCTCCACAGAACAAAGACAGACCTCTAGAGCTGGAAAGAATTCTGCCAGCAAACTGTGTGGACCACTTGGGCAGACCACCCACTGTGTCTCCAGCCTGAGGGCTCACACAGCTTCTAAAATCCCATGAGCCAATTCCTTACACACACACACACACACACACACACACACACACACACACACCCCACACACATCTCTGGAAAACCCTGACTAGCACAAGTAGCTTCTCCTCAATTTCTTTCTTTCTTTCTTTTGCCTTTTCTCCACCCCACCCCCCCCTCGGGACAAGGTCTTGCTATGTAGCTCTATCTGGCCTTGAACTCATAGTGATCCTCCTGCCACAGCCTTCCAAGTGCTAGAATCACAGATGTGCACTGCCACATCTGGCCTCCTTCAATTTCAAGATAAAGTTAACTCATAGCTAGTCCATCCCTCTCTTGGGTCAACTTGGTTTAGGCAGTGCCTTTGTGACTGTTAGAAAAAGACACCTGCTTTAGGCAGAAGCTAGCTGAGCAGAGCCTGTAGTGGGGATGGAACCTAGAGTCTTGCACAAGTTGGGCAAGTGCTCTGCCCCTGACCTACTGCCTAAGCCCTCTCTACGGTCTTGAGGTCTTCATAATGTAATTTAGACTTGTCTTGAACTCATTGTGAAGTCCAGGCTGATTGAGCTAGCCTCAGCCTCACCAGTGCTGGGATTACAGGTGTGCTCCAAAATGCCTACTTTAATTTTTGGGACAAGCGCTTGATAAACTGCCTTGAACTTTAATCCTCCTGCCTCAGCCTGGTGAATAGTGGAGCCTTCCTCCTCAGCGCAGTCTACAGTCAGGAGTCTGGCCTGCTTCCGGAGGGGTCCCTGCCAACATTGGCTCCCTGTCTCTTCCATGAGGGGTCTCCTTTCTCTCTGCCCATACCCACCCTCAGTTCTGAGCAGCTGGTAGGACCTGCTGTGCCCCTTCCCTCTTGCGCTTCTGTCCATCAGCCCGTTGCGGTCCTGGGTCTCCTAGGCTCCTCTGGCATCACTGCTCAGGTCAGGCCTTGGGCATCCTCAGGCAGGGGCGGCCTCTCCTCTCCTGACTCTGCTTCACTGCTGCTATTGTTCCTGGATCAGATGGACAAACGCTCTAGTGAAGAAACTTAAACTTGGATCCACGGCGCTGGACACCAGTGGGTGCTCGATGAAATGTTACCTGGGCGAAAGAACACGGGGCAGTGCGAGTGAGCGGACGGCGGAGCAGCCGGCCCCACGGTGAGCAGCAGGAGGCGCTCTCCGGGAGCGTGGCCCTTCCTTCTGGGCTGTCCGGGTCCCCAGCGGGAGCCGGCTGGGCCGCAGCAGGGGAGGCGAGGCCGGTTCCACCGGAGTCTCCGCAGCCCAGAAGCCTGCTGCACTGGGCTGCAGGGCGCGAGAGGGAGCAGAGAGGCGCCCCTCACCCCCGCGTCGCCCCCTTCCATTCTTCCTCCCCAGGGGCTCCAGGAACGAAAACTGCCCCCAGCCAGGCCAGAGCGCGCGGGTGAAGGCGGCCCTCGGTCCCTGCGCGGAGCCTCCTCCCGCCGGGCCGCGGAAACTGGCAGCGCCGGGGGTTCCCCGCCAGGCGGGCGTCCCGAGGCGGGGCGAGGGGACCGTGGCGCCCCTGGAGTCGCGGCTCCCACAGGCCCCCCACCCCCGGCGGCGCCTGCCCTCCCCGGCGTGCGGCCCCGCCCCCGCCCCGGGCCGGAATCTCGCAGCCCCCCTCACATCTTCCCCTCTTTTCCTCGCGCCTTGGTATGCACCAGGGGACAGATGTCTTGGGATCTTTAACATTTGGGATGCTACAAATGCCGAAGTTAAATGAAATACCTCCGGGGAGGGAAGGCGGGGGGCAGACGCGGGGCGCGGGAAGATGGCCCGGACCCACAGGTCCTGACGCTGCCCGGCGCGCGCGGGGGGCGCGGGCACAGGCGGGAGGCGCCGGAGCTCGGCGGGACAGGTAAGGAGGGAACTTCGGGGGCCGGTGCGGCCGAACTAGGGGGATCAAGCCCCTGAGCCCGCGCTCTGCATCCCCAGCGGACCGGGCTCTTACAGAAATTGGGGTACTTTTACAAGGGGGTAGGAATGCTGAATTCCTATCCTACGCGTACGTTTTCAGCTCCTCAGCCTTTCTCCTCCGACCTTCCCCAAGCCTCTGGAGCTCCTGGCCAGGTTCCGGAAAGGCAGGGAGCAGCCAAACAAAAGGAGCAAAGTCTCAGGCCGGCCTGGAACTGCAGGGCGCGGTGGGGGAGGGGGCAGGGTGGACGGGACAAAGGGGCTTTTTATGGAGAGAGCCTAGAGGTCTGATTTCAGGGCGCATTCCAGGCTAACCAGGAGTTCCCCTGTCCCAGCCCACACCACCGTCGCCCGGGGGAAGTGAACACCTTTCCCAATGTGCAGGGAGCAGAGAGGAGAAAGAAAACAGTTAAGGGAAGATCTCCCATCCCTCTTGCCTGGAGGGTCCCGGGCAATTTGCCTCCCTTCTCTTCCCAGTTAGTCCTGGTGGCTGTTAGTGGTTATTCATTCATTAGGGAGAATTGTAGGCCTGTCGGTGACGGTGCTTTGCTGGGCAAGGTTGAGGTCACGGAGATGATAGTGTGAGGTGCCTGGCTGCAAGAAGTTTGGATAAACATAAAAGAAAAAACTTTGAAGAAACTTAAAGAATGGCTGGCTACAGAGCTGTGGAGGAGCCTTCTGATTCGGGACTTTCCCTTAGGACAAGAGAGCCCTAAAGAGGGCATTTTTCCTCTTCTTGGGGGAAAACTCTGGTTGCCCAAGATCACATTCCAGTCCCTGTCAGAGCTCTGCAAGGAAACCCCACTTCCTCACCTGCTGGTGGCCTTGCTGAGGGTGCTCTGAGGGTTGGAGTTGGAGCATCACTTCCAGGGTGGCCTCTAACCCACATCTCCCTTGGCCTTTTGAGTTAGATGCCGTGTAATCAGCTAGATCCACGGAGCCCTCTCTGGGATTCTCCGGAACTCAAATCTGCTATCGTGCTCAGTTGGTGCTGGTGCTCAGTTGGTGCTGGTGGTGTATTGGGTTATGAAAGGGACAGGAAGTTGCTAGGTCTGGGATGGTGTGCTCCTTCCTGGACTGCACAACTTCTGTTTAGGTGGAGTTGGGTTCTGTGCCGGGGACTTGGGGTTTCTGGCGTCACTGACAAGAGAACCTGGCCTCTTCTGCTCACGTCCATTCTTTTTTTTTTTTTTTTTTGTCTTTTTCATTTTTATCGGTACCGGGGATCGAACTCACGACCGCCTGCTTGCAAGTCAGGTGCTTATGCCGCTGAGCTAAATCCCCAGCCCCGCTCACGTCGATTCTTGAAAAGCCAATTTTTCCTAACTAGACATTAGTGAAAGGCTGGCAGGCTTCTTCCAGAAGATAAGTTAAATCAAGGAATTCATGCCCTTGTGTTTCCAGACCTTAGCTGATTTCACTTTTCCCCTTAGCTAATTTCACTTTGACCCAGGTAGTGCATTACCTGAGGGCAGAAGTTTGCAGGCCTTTGTGGATAGAATTCAGAGGGTTTGTAAGCTTAGATAGGAGTGGAACTTTGCATCTTTATCTTTTTACAGTATGTAACAAAAACGTAGCATCACTTTGAATTAGCAGCAAAACATTGGAGTGTTGGTAGCACCTGTGACGCCATTGATAAAATTCACTTTCATATCCTATTATAGTTGTTGCAGCTATCTGGAAACATTGCTTGCAGTCATCACTTGTAAACACTTATCTACTGCTGGATCCTATTTAATGGTAATAAGGAAGTATTAGCAGTTCTGGTTTGGGACCTGTGTTGCAATATAATTGGTTCTTCTGGTGATACTGCTCATTTTATTTTATGTATTTAAACATGTGAGTGATCAGCTGATTCGAGACAATCCCTCTGCCCTCCACACTTGGAGCTAAAAACTGGGCAAGACCAGCATTTGCCTAGAGTTAACCCCTCTCTGACTGACAATGGACAACAGTGAAGACCTGTAGGGCTAGGAGGGACTGCTGTAGTGTGGAGAACCAGGCAAAAGAAGGGCTGTGAGTTCTTTGGGAGGCCCAGAGAGCTTGCTCCCCACCTTGGGCAGAGTCTGCCCCTTGTGAGGGCCCCTTAGCCTCAGATGGGAGAAAGGAGGAGGTGGTGGGCTAGCATTGTTTGGAAAAGGGTGTGGACCGGAATGTGAAGGTGTGCAGGGTCTGCATGCCAGCAAAGGGGAAGTGGCCCTCAGTGACAGCTCAGCTCTGCCGGAGATGCTAGATGAGAGCAGAATTCCTCACCATACTTGAACTGGGGGATGGGGAGTGAAGGACAGGGATCTTCCGGGCCTGGGAGGGGGCCGCAATCTTAATTGAATTGCGGAGCTGGGAGGTATGGTGGGAGGGCTTAATACCTGGGGGATGGGAAGAGTGAGATCAAGACTTGAAGGGGAGGGGGTGCGGCCCCCTCTTTGGTCGGCTAGGACTGGCCACAGGCATCCTGAGCTCGGTTTCCCCCTATTAAATGAGTTGGACCCCAAACAGTTTTCCATTTGAGGATCAGTGAGGTGGGAGACCTGGAAGCCCATGTAAGAAACAAATTCCATTTAGGTCTCTGGTCCCTTGCATTTGGGGAGTGGCTTGTGGCCTTTGAATCACACAGTGACCTTTCTACAGAGTAAGAGACAGGACTGGGGTTCAGGTCAGTGCTCCAGGGGTTGTGCTGCTGGGAGGTGGGGTTACGTTATGAACCAGGAAGTGATGGTCCTGATGCTCCTGCGGTGAGTAAGTGTGTGGGATACAAAGAGAAAGCTCCAGGCGGGGTATAGTGCAGTAGTTGAGCGCTGGCTTAGCTGTGGCCCTGGGTTCATCCCCACAAATAAGGAAAAAGGGAGGAGGAAAAAGAGTGAATGGCCTGGTCCTCCCATTGCAGTACCCTAGGACCTGTGTATGTATAATTCCAACTGGAGGGGTTTGGTTGTTTTGTTTTGTGCTGGAGGTTAAACCCAGGGCCACATGGAATCTTCCAGCACGTTTTCCCTTCTTTTCTGTGTGTGTTTTTTTTCTTTTCTTTTTTGTTATAAGAAGGGGGACTGACCTCTTAATTCCTGGGTTCAAGTGATCCTCCTTCCTCAGCCTCCCGAGTAGCTGGGACTGCAGGTGTGCCCCTCCCACCTTCCACTGTGAGGTTTTTAAATCCTGATGCAGAAGACACAAAACTTGGTCCAGAGCTCCATTTCAGTGTATGAGAAAGAGCAGTGACCTGCATGGAGTTTGTGATTTCCCATTGTTAACCTCATGCAGAGTGGACCTTTTGCCTGTTATGGGGACTTGTTCCTAGGTTTCCAGAAAGGGAAATGGGGTGGGTGCAAGGAAGGCCGGCAGAACGCAGCAGGGACAGAGGACAATGTGACATCCCACAGCCCTGACCATTGCACTCGGGTCCCTGCAAGGTATGCCTCTTGTTGTTGGCAGAGATTTCTCCATGGGGAGCCCCTTTCCCTGCTCCCCACTCGCCCCGGAAGTGCAGAGGCCCAGGAGCTGCCTGCCGGCAGCAATCAGCAGTTCAGGGAAGGGCTTGCTCACCTGCTCCTCCCCTCTGACTCAAGTCATAACAAGTAACCTGGTTCCCCTGGCCCAGCAGCCTGGGAGGGACCAGAGGGACGGCCAGAGGGGCAGCCAGCAGCTTGCGGGAGCGGGAACAGGAGCAGGAGCCCGGCCAGAGTGAGAGCACAGGTGGCAGGCCAGTGGTCCCAGAGGCCTAGAGGCGACATGCAAGGCCCCTAGCCTTCTTGACCTGGAGCAGGGGCTTGGAGGGTCTTTCTAGGACTCCCGGACTAACACCCTGAAGCAGGTAAGGGTGGGGCGGGGCGGGGCGTGGCTGAGCGGGGGCTTCCCGCTGTCCTGCAGGTGGAGGGAGCTGGGCTGTGACCACTTCCCACCCCTGATCAGCTCTGATCTGGGGTTCAGGGATAACAGGGGCTGGTGGGTTCTAGCAGGGAGTCTGTCCCTAGAGCTGGGCCTGAATCTCCGCTGGAGAAAGGGCCAGCAGAGGTGAGCTGGAGCGAAGAGGCCCAAAGCCTGGCTTTGGAGGTTCATTTGTGATGGGAGAGAATCTCTGATAGCTGCCTAAGAGAAAGTGTCCTAGTGTTTCCCCTCCTGGCTCTGTGACAGTGCCTTTTCCTGGGGGCACTGTTCCTTCTGCATGGTGGACTGCTTCTTAGGGCTCACTACTGGGGCTGGCCCATTGTGGCTGGGGACTGGGAGAGGGGGAAAATTCTAGGGGGCAGAGATGTTTCCTGAACTGTCTTTACGTACAGCCATGCTTTAGACACCTAAAGCTCCCTTGCATCTTTGTGTACATTGAAAGGTGGCACAGCCAGGACAAGTGATTTTCCCCAGGTAACATGGGTGGTAAAACACCTGAGCCTTACTTAGAGCAGCAGGTTTTGGCATCATATCAGGAGCACAGTGAATGTCAAGGCCTCCCCCTTGACCCTGGCAGTGAGGGACTGGGCCAAGCTGGGGAGGGGGAAGTTGCAGGAGGACTAGTTTCCGGAAGTTGGACGGAGTTGTCGGAAATTTCAAGGGAACTCCTTAGTGGTTAATAATTAATTGGCAAATGTGACTCGTTAATGGCTTCCCTTCTGATATTACCTCTTCCCTTTGTCCAAAGCTGAAAGGCCAAGGGTGCCAGGTGAGAGTCCATTCTGCTTCCTAGGTCTGGTTGGACTCTCCTGCTTAATGGGGAGGATGTCAGCATGGCCTGGGTTACGGGTAAGGGTCTGGGACAGGTGAACAGTGCAAAGCTAAAAAGAAGTCACCCTGGATTCCCAGGTTCCTGGAGTATATGGCCACTGGTCCTCTGGCATGTTTGTAAAGATTTCCTATAAACTTAAAAAAAAAAATTCTATTATGTACTCTTTGGACTTCCTTGGAAATTGAAATTGTGAAGTGCAAGATACATACTGTCTTTAGGCCTAAGGTTTTAAACTGCTGCTGCCCCTGGTACCTTGATAAGCTCTGCTGTTTACACAGGTCTATAAAAGCCATCACTCCTTCCCTTTTAGCAGAGGTATAGCATGCTGGGGACACGCTGACTGTGGTCTCCGCTAGCTACCTCGCTTTGGGGCCAGCTCTCCCAAGGCTTACTCTTCTGTCCTGCTGGCTGCTGGTGAGGGTCTGGGGGAATTCCGCCCCCTCAGTGTGGCCCTGTACTCAGAAGGGGCAGCAGGATAAGCTCCAGACAGAAACTCGGAAGGACTTTTGGACTCTTGCTCAACGGCTGACTCAGTGAGGAGGTGGCTGGCCTCTCCTTCCAGACTGCCTCCTGGGCTCCGCCTGCCTTCCCACCCCTGTTCCAGCCAGCAGCTGCCAGGCCCTGGCCAGCTAAGACCCTGACCAGGCCTGGTGGGTGAAAGTGGCCTCAGGAATCACCTTCTAGCATCAAGTGGCCACACCTGCCTAGAGGACCTACCCCAGAAAGAGGCAGACCTGGACCCTGGGGGCGCCAGTTCAAGGCCTTGGCCTGATGCCCAGTGTCCAGCTACTTCTCAAACCGCCCAGGCAGTGGGCCATGACAGGGCTGAGGACAGCTGTGTTCAGGAGGATGTCTTCCCCTGCCTCCTGGCTTTCTCACCCAAATGTCTTCCGGGCCTCCTCCTCTCATCCTTCCATCCTCAAGCATCTACTCCTGAGCTGTTTGGAACCATAGAGCTGGTTGGTTATTGTTCTCCTTTCTCTTAAAAGCTGGGAAGACTCCAGGCTACCTACGTATCCTGGCCCAGCCTGGGACCCGTGCCATCCCTCCCTACTCTGCACCCCCTCCTGCCAGAAGTCCACCATGGAGAGTAAGGATGAGGTCAGCGACACCGACAGCGGCATCATCCTGCAGTCTGGTGAGTGCCTTGGGGAAATCCCCCAGCCCCAGGCCCCAGGTGGCTGGCTAAGCCTTCCAAAGCTCATGGAGGGAGGGGACAGAGAGGTCTCTGCTGGGGGAAGCAGAGAGATAGCGGAGGACCTCAGGGACACACAGACTTTCTCTCTTGGAGGGTCTGGCTGGAGTTTGGTCCTGAACAGAGATCCTACTGTTCAACTTTAGCTGTAGTGATTACTGAGATATCAAAAAGGCTTATCTGGCCAACGTTAAGGTTTGATGTCTCTAGTTGAAATCAGCTGGTGGGTCTTGTCTGCCTTTGTTTTGACAAAGGAGAGGGGAGGCCTGTGAGCATGTGCCAGTAGCACCCCACCACCCACCTAGATCAGCAGGTGGGGCAGCTTCCCCTCTGAGCTGTAACACTGCCTCTGCTGGGCAGCCAATAGACTTGGGTTTTGTGGTTATAATATAGGCCACAGCAGCTAGCCTGTAATTTGTGAGTGGGCATGGGGCTGTGTGTATGGATACATATGCCACTAAAGGTGATCAGTAAGTGTCTAAGAGAGGCTTTCCTACCTCAGCATCTCTGAGCATGTGGCCCTTGCCCTCCTGCAGGCCCTGACAGCCCGGTCTCCCCGATGAAGGAGCTGACCCACGCAGTACACAAGCAGCAGCGGGCCTTGGAGGCGCGGCTGGAGGCCTGCCTAGAGGAGCTCCGGAGACTCTGCCTTCGGGAGGCGGTGAGGCCTGGGTGGTCCCTGCCCTCCCCACACGTATCCACTTGGAGCCACATTTTAGGATATTAGGGCTGAAGGTGGTGCCCTCATTCTTTTTTTTTTTTTTTTTTTTTTGGGTCTTTTTCTTTTTTATCGGTACCGGGGATTGAACTCACTACCACACACTTGCAAGGCAGGTGCTTATGCCGCTGAGCTAAATCCCCAGCCCCTGGTGCCCTCATTCTTAAGGGAATTCTGGAAATCAGAACAGGGCTAGGCTTGGAGTCCTCTGATGTAGTGTTTGGCCTGGCACTGGGTAGGGGTGAGTTAGACCCAGGCGAAGCCCAAGCACAGGGGCAGGGGCCGTGGAGACCCAGGGCTTCTAATGCCTACAACTGGGATCCTGAAGTCCTCTGGAGGAAGTGATCAGATGATGTGAAAGAGAAGAGGAAGGTACCAGTGGAAGGGGACTGGAAGATAACTAAGAGGTGATAGGATGGCTTAGGTAACAAGTGGTCTGCTGTCCCAGATGCCTCTGTGGAAGAGCACATCCGTGCAGTGCAGGGACCAGTGATGGGATATAAGTGGTCACTACAGTTTGGGCAGGTGGAGTCACCTGGCTTGACTTTGCTTCCCTACAGGAGCTGACAGGCACCTTGCCAGAAGAATATCCTCTCAAACCAGGAGAAAAGCCCCCCAGGGTCCGCCGCAGGATTGGAGCAGCTTACAAGCTGGATGAGTGGGCCTTGCACAGAGAGGTGAGACATTTCAGAGGCATAGGGAAAAGGGTGCCACCATAGGAGCTGGAGGGCTGGGCACTCTAGGATAGGCATTGGGCTTGTCCTCATGACCAGAAGACCAGCTAATGTCTCCAGCCACCCACCAGAGAGCCTGTTGCCTGCCTGGACAGGTTACTTTGTCTGCGGGACTGTCCTCTTTTTCAGCCCGCAAGGGAGGTGGCGGGAGCAGCTTAGGCTGTGGGTGCCTGCTCTTTCCCATGACTTTGGGGTCAGGAGGGAAAGTGTCTCGCTTGCGTTTCCACCCAGCCCAGCTGGGCAGGCAGGCCAGTGGTGGGTGCCCATGCCAGCTTCTCCCTGTGATAAGTTGTCTCTCAGCCCCTCCTACCACTCCACCCTCCCTAGACTGCTGTCTGTCCTCCATTCTCTGGGCTTTGGGCCAGGAATCAGAGCCCTGGGCCAGTACCCTCTGAGAGCCTGCCTGTCCCCAAACTCACTCCCAACTCTCTCCAGGACCCCTTGAGCAGCCTGGAGCGCCAGCTGGCCCTGCAGCTACAGATCACTGAGGCTGCGCGGCGGCTGTGCGCGGAGGAGAACCTCAGCAAGCAGATGCGCCGGCAGCGGAAGCACGCGGCTCTGCAGGAGGAGAAGAAGCTGCGGGAGCTGCAGCGCAGCCTGGGTGAACGGCGGCGCAACAGTGAGCCCCCTCCTGCCACCACTGTCCAGGGACTGGGCCAAGGTGAGGCTGCCGGCCTGGGCGTGAGGGGTGGTGGACAGTGTGACGCTGCGTTTGCCTGCAGTCAGCGCCACCTCAGCGCCCGGCACAGTGCTCTAACAGCTGGGATACCTGCTGTCTGGGTCCACCTCGACCCCATCTTACCTTCTGCAGTCCCAACAAGGCTTCCTCCTGGGAGATCACTCTTCCCCATCTTCTTAGAAAACATCCCACTCCCTCCTGCGTCGCCTGCAAAAACTTCAGGACTTTCTAAAACAGGGTGGTGGTGCCCATCTGTAATTCCAGCACTCTGAGAGGCTGAGACAGGAGGATTGCAAGTTCCAGCTCAACCAGTGTAATTTATCAAATCAGCAAGACCGCGTCTCATAAAAACAAAAGAGGGGGTGGGGTGGGGATCTAGCACAAGAGAAAGACCCTGGGCTCAGTCCACAGTACTGCGGGGAGGAGGGCAGAAGAAGACTTCCTAGACAGGAAGGCTGACCATGAGCTTAATCCAAGGTTTTATTCAGCCAAAGTATCCGAAACCCACAGAGTGACAGCTTATCTGGGTCAGGGCATCTGGGCGGATCTGCGACTCTGAAGTAATATACTTTCCCCACTCTTGAGTTATACATCGCAGAGAGTTATACAGCAGGAATGAACCATTGCTCCAAGTAGCTGATCGGAGAGTGTCAAGGCCACGCTTCTTGGTACTCACAGAATGTCTAGGCTGGAATCCAGCCCACAGGTGTTGAGCCCCACAATCCCTTCAGTATCTACAAGTACCTTGGACTTGTCCGGAGGGGAATCCACATCTGTTCTCTGCCTTATTATTCCTATGGCTCAGTCCCTGAGCCCTGACCTCCCTGGGTGGCTTTGGGGCATCTAATGAGCTGTCAGTGCCAGGAGCCCACACATGACTTAAGAGTGTCCCATCAGGGTTAGCTTCCTGTTGGTGGGTTTGAACCCTGAGGTATGGTTATTTGTTTCTCCCAACCCACATCCAGCTTGTCGGGTTGTGACTTGCAGGTTTCCATTCCAGTCTGCACCCCCAAGGCCTTACTCATGTCTCCCAGGCCTCCCTGGCTGGTCTGTGAAAGGGGAGTAGGCAAGTGGGCAATGGCCTCAGGGTAGACTGGATCTGAGGTCTTGGGCGCGGCTTAGCAAGTGGCTGCTAACGCTGCATCTCAGCAGGTTTTTTGCACCATTGCTGTCCTTCCCTGGTGGGACACTTGGGTAAAAGCCTAATGGTCCTGCCTGGTCCCTGTGCCTCATGGCCTCATCATCTGCTCTCACCTGTGCCCTCTAATTTATGATAGGATATCTGATGAGACACCAGCCATGTATAGATAGCAAAGAAGGAAATGCTTCTATGTGACAGCTGATGAGTAAAGCCAGTGGGCTGGTCACAGGGCCTGGTGGCCAGACCTCTCTCTGGTTGAATGGCTCTGGCCTATCCTGGCTGCCCAAAAACGCTTCTGGCCTTCAAGCCTTTTAGAGAAAAGACATTTTCCATTCCCCTGGGAGTGGACCTGGCAGCTCTTACGTGGGCATGAAAGTCCCTAAGGGCCAACTTGCTCCGTGCTTGTTAGGAGCCATCTGGGTGGTGAGATGGGCCCTGTCCCAGTTGGTCTCCACCACTCTGTCCCCTGCAGCCTCATACTGCTCAGCAGTGCCTGCTGATAAGCACTGTAGTTGGTTAGAGCTTCTGCCCAGGCCTGACTGGCAGTGAGATGTCACTGTGCTGCTGCCACTGTGACCCATGATGCTCCTTGTTGGGAGTGGAGAGCAGGCCAGGACACGCCTCGGGCTCTGGCTTCACCCTCTGTGGGAGGCAGGAGGCTGAGGCTCTGAAGCCTTCTCTGGGGACTCTGACCAGGAAAAACCGAGCTGGGCAGGGAAAGAACTGATACAACTGCTGACTTGGCCAGCTCTGACAGAGAGCCTGCTCCCACACTCAGTCCCGCTCTCCACAAGGTCCTGGGCGCTCGAGCTTGGCCTTGGGAACTCTGGAGCAGGCAGATCTAGACAAGCAGTTCTTCCTTTGTGACTTCTCTACCAAGCTATGCTCACCTAGAAAGAAGGAAGTAGAGAGAAGGAAGTAGAGAATGATAATTAGTAGCTGGAAGGTGTTTTAAATTAAAAAGGAAAAAATAAGTAAGGAAAAAATAAAACAAAAACCCCAAACAAAAGCCCATCCTGTGACCTAGATCTCCCCACAAGGATTATTTAATTTGGGAAAGTAATTATGACAGATGATAGTAATTAGCCAGACTCTGCAGGTGGCAAGTAGTCAGGCGTTGAACCAGTTTACTGTGGGTGAACCTGATGAGAGCCACCCCAGCACACGCCTCAGTCATGGAACAGGTGCTCAGTGTGTGTTTGCTGATTGACAGTATCAGTCTTTAGCAACCTTGTCCTTTAGCATTTCAGCAATTGTTCCCTGTCTGTGCTGTCCAGTATGGAAGCCACTAGAATCAGGTGGCTATTAGACATCTGAATTGTGCCTAGTGTGACTGAGGAACTGAACTTTAATCTTGATTTCATTTTGATGAGTATAGTTTCCTGTCACTGGTGGCTACCATGTTGGACAGCATAGCTTTGAGACTCTTGAGTTTGTAAGTATTGTCTTCATAATTACCTCTCCACCTGGGCTGTCCTGCTGCTGCTGTTGCGGCCAGGAACTCATGCTGGATGGAGGCCAGGGCTGGGTGGGGACAGAGCCTGAGAAAGTGACAGCCCTCAGGAGCCACCTGCCTCTGACAGATCAGTGTGCTCTGCTGGTCCCCCCTCACTGTGTCTCTAGGTCTCCCTTTTTGCTTTGTACCTTTTGTCCCGCAAAACAGATCTGCCTGTTCACAAGAAGGTTAGGGGTAACAGCGAATGGTGTTCATCTTTTTTTTTAGCTTGACATTTGCAAAAAATAACATCATTATCATTATTATTATTACTATTCGATACCGAGACTCAAACTCATGACCTTGTACTTTTGACAGGTCCTTGTGCCACTGAATTCCCAGCCCCCCAAAATCTTATTTTTTTTAAAGACCAGAAGCAAGGAACCAGAATTCAGTAAGAGGGTGTCACCTCCATTGAACCCCAAAGCAAGGGCTAGCTGGCTGCTCTGATGTCAGACCCAGCTCCTTGAATCATATTCCTATTGAATAGAATTGCTCTGGGTTAAGTTTTTGTCTCATTTTAGTTGTCAATCAAAGATTGGCAGATATTTCCAATTTGCTAAAAGGTCAGATAGTAGAGTTAGGCTTTGTGGATCATGTGGTCTTATCACAAGTCTGCCAGTTTAGATGCTAAAGCAGTCTGTGTTAGGTAAAAGAATCTATAGCTGTATGCCAATTAAAAGTTCTTTGTCAAAATAGCTGGTGAACTACATTTGGCACATGGGCTGTGGCTTACCAACCCCTTTATAAAAGTTTTCAAATTGCGGAACTGTTTACTTTTCTTAGAACCTGATAATGACCTATGTGTTAGATACTGGCTATGAGCAGAGCCAGGGAAAGCTGGGGTGAAGAGCACAGACTCTGGTCACGCTGTCGAGTGTGAACTCTGACTCTACTACCCTTTGGTGGGTTGAGCCAAACAGCATTACCTCTAAAACTCAGTTTCCTCAACTGTTACATGCAGAAGATAGTAACTCCTTTACTTTATATGAATAAGTGTTAGAAAATTATTGAATCAGGGCTGGGGATTGAGCTCAGTGGGCAAAAGCGCCTGCCTGGCAAGCACGAGGTCGTGAGTTCAATCCCCAGTACCAAAAAAAAAAAAAAAAAAAAAAAAGAAAGAAAGAAATAAATTACTGAATCAGTATTACAGAACGCAGTATTGGCATTGTGGAAATATCGGCCATTATTTGTTTTCCTAACTTCTGTTGTTAAGCAAATTAAAAATGCTTTGTGAGTTCCATTTGGGTCACATCAGTTCTCAAATCTTTCCTGCGAGGCAGCTGCTGCTGTCCCTCCTCCAGGTGACTTGCTTTGTCACCCATTGGAGGTCCCTCCTATTTAAATTGGCCCCAGAGTCCCACTGCTCTTGACTCCCACCTTCCACTGTTGTTGTGGCAGTGCAGGGGTTCCTAGGCTGAGTTCAGTTGTAATTACGATGTTAGAAGACTACAGAAAAGTTGACAAAATTTGTTTCATCCCAGGGATCTCCCAAATGGCTCTTTGCCTATTCCTTTTATTGTTAAACTTGTTTAGACAAGTGGGGAATTGAGGTCCAGAACCCTGAAATAGTTTATTCAAAGTTGCATGGCGAATAACAGAGCCAGAATTAAAATCAGGTTTCCAGTCTCCTAGCCCTTGACTTCTGATTTGCTTTTTTTCTATGTCTAAGCTCATGATAGAGTACTTAGCACACGGTGGGTAATTCCTGTAATGGTGCTATCTTGGAGAGGGAGTGGGCTAGGGTTTCTCTCTACTGCTGGTTACTTGTATCTAGTGGTTAATTCCCTCACCTTTCCTCTTTGTCTTTTGATTTCTCCAGAGCTCAGTGCCTCAGATGACAGCTCCCTGTCTGATGGGTTACTTCTGGAGGAAGGTGAGGAAGATTAGGAACCACAGTCAAGGCTGGGTTCCTACTGCAAGAATTTGGGCTTTGGCAGAGTTTGTTAGTGAGGGTGTCATAAAGGAAGAGGTGATAAAGGAAGAGGTGTCAACCCAGCATCTTATGTAGACTTGGTGTCATCTCCTCTGCACATGCTCAGTTGAGGGTGGGGACATGCTGACTGTCTCTCATTGTAGAAGTTTGACTGTTTTGATGAGGAAGAGAAAGGTGGACTCCAGCAGGGCCTATTAGGCCTGGTTATGTCTACACCCTGGGGCTTTATTTCAGGTTGAACCAGCCAGAGTCTTTGAGCCATCTGTCCACAATCATTATCAGTTTCCAAAAGAAGGTAGCACTGAGAGGGAAATGAGAGTCTGTGGATTGAGAATCTGTCCACCGCCCAGGGTGGTGGTGCACACCTGTAATCCCAGCACTCAGGACACAGGTGCAGGAAGGTCACCATGAGTTTGAGGGCAGCCTAGGCTACATAGTGAGTTCATTACCAGCCTGGATTACATAGTGAAGCCAAAGAACCCCTCTGTGTACCAATGCTAGGGATGTCAGGGTGAAGATGGATCAAGAATTTGGTACAGTTCTGCCCAGGGGAGTTCCCAGGCTAGTAAGGAAACTAGGGTACTTGAGCATGCCAGGAACAAGAAAAACTGGTAACAGAGGCTGGCTGCAGACATGGCACTAGGAGCAAAGGCTAGCAGTGCAGTAATGTGATCCAAGAAAAGTCAAGCTGGGGAGGCTTCTCAAAGAAGGCAGGTATAAAGTATGACTGTGGGACAGAGAAAAGTCAATTCTAGCACTGAGCTGGAACACCGGCCAGGAGCAGTGGGACAAGTCACGCATGGGAGGGAGCGCAAGGCACTGGCTGCAGAGGTTGTCAGGCTGGGTCCCTAGCCTCTCACCTTACCAGGTTTCTTTTACTCCACAGAGGACTCTCAGACACCAAAACCTCCTCCAGAGTCCCCAGCCCCACCTTCTAGGGCTGTCCCACCTCAGAGCCTGGAGGGATTGCAACCAGCAGGACCTGAGCCGGGAGCCCTGGAGCGTGCCCCCATCCAGAACAGCCCGTGGAAGGAGACCAGCCTTGACCACCCCTATGAGAAGGCCAGGAAGTCCTCCGAGCCCAGCAGCGAGTCCAGGTGAGGGGAGGAAGGGAGGGTCGGGAGCAGGTGTGGCCTGCTGGCCTGGGCAGGTTCAAGAGGAGAAAGGTGGAGATCAGTATCCCCTTAGCTGAGTGACAAAAGATGTGATCACTGACAGCTCCTCAAGGGTGCTGGTAGTGTGCACCCTAATGCAGAGGCCCCCTTTCACAATGCTCTCATCCTCCTGCACATCGTGGGTCCTTCAGTGGAGACGCTCCTGTTGCTGACTTCTCTCCATCCCTTTGCAGCAGTCTGGCCACCACACCCCAGGACGGGCCCAGTGCCTCCAGCCTGTGGCCACTGGAGCTGGCCTCGTACCACCTGGGGCCCATCCCCAGTGTTCCTGGACAGCGACAGGGACGCATCAGTGCTCCAGCGACCCCTGAGATGCCGGGGAGGCGGGGCCAGTCACAGTCTCTGAGGTAAGAGAGGCCCCCTCAGAGATGCAGGGACAGCCACCATCTAGCACCACAGTGGGAGGGTGGACAGTCCCAGAAAACTGGAGGAAACCCAGGATGACACATGGCTAGTATTGTGGCTTCTCTTAAGGAAAAAGAGATGGCAGCACTACAACCAAAACCCACATCATTCATGAAGTAAGAACTTTTCTTTCTTTTTTTTTTTTAAATTTTTTTTTTGTCTTTTTCCATTTTATTGGTACCGGGGATCGAACTCACGACTACCTGCTTGCGAGGCAGGCGCTTATGCCGCTGAGCTAAATCCCCAGCCCCAGAACTTTTCTTTCAAAGACTCCAATTTTGTGTTTTTGCATAAATTGACTCAAGTTTCCTACCTTGCTGTGTTCTCTTAGGCCGGAGATACTTTTCCAATTGTTTTATTATTGGTCACTGACAGTGAGTACATTTTTTTTTTTTTTTTTTTTGGTCTTTTTCATTTTTTATCGGTACCAGGGATCGAACTCACGACTGCCTGCTTGCAAGGCAGGCGCTTAGGCCGCTGAGCTAAATCCCCAGCCCCCAGTGAGTACATTTCTTACTTAGGTGATGAGCAGTTGACTCTCATTATTCGTGGTGGCTGTGTTCTGTAAAATTGCCACAATGACACAGTTAGCAAATACTGCACCACTGCCCTTAAGTGTTAGATTGCTGTGAATCTTAAGTCATGACATTGTTCATCAGCTGATCAATGTATACAACTTGATTTTATGTAAATTTTTGTCTAAAGACACCTTGTTTAATTCATTTGTGACTTCAGTAACACTGAACCTAAAGGAAGCTTAATTATTTGTGGGCCTGGTGTTATGGCATATACCTTACAATCCAGGTACTTGGAAGGCTGAGGCAGGAGGGTAGCAACTTTGAGGTCAGTCTGGACAATTTAGTGAGACCCTGTTTCCAAATAAAATATAGTAAAAAGGAGATTGGGAATGTAGCTCAGAGATGGAGGGCTTGGCTAGGAGGCCCGGGGTTCAATCCCCAGTATCACACACACATGCATACACACGAGATTCCTCCTGTACTTAAATAGTAAATTCACCAAAAGCATCAAAGGTAAAAAAGTTTTCTTTTTAAAGTGTACTAAGTAATCACATTAAATGTCCCTTGTTTCTGGCCTTAAGTGCTGAAACAGGCAGGCAGACCTTGACCTTGTTCCATCTCAGCTAGGGATGTGAGCTTAGAGCAGCTTGAATTTTCTGATGTTCTGGGAATGTCCCCAAGTGACCGTGACTAATGTGTATGTTGATGTTGGAAAGTAGGCAAATCCGAAAACAGTGAACCTACGTATAATGAGAATTGACTGTGTGTTCCTTTCCGAGGCACCTGCTCCCTGGGAATAGTTTCAGTGACAGCTGTGACAGGCAGCATTACCCATACCACACAAGGGGCCTGGAGCACCATCAGAGCCTCTCCAGGGTGCCCACCAGGCAGCACTCAAGTAAAGCAGTGTATTTTCTGTTATGTTTACAACCAGGGTTACTTTACACACAGTGCCTTTGTGCACCTTAGCAAAAGGCCACGTGTATGAGCCTCATGCCTGGGTGTGTAGCAGGGTTAGATCCCCCCATCTGGTCCTGGGCTGCTTGAAGCTGTCCTTTCCACCATGAGATTGCTTTTCATGTTGAAGTCTGACACCTGACAGTGTCCACCTGAATAGATGCTGCAGATGACAGACCACAGAACACAGTGGACTGCAGAACCGGCTGAAAATAGGGCCATGGACACAGCATAGTGTTGGCCCTTTTTATCTCTGGGCTCCACATCTGGGAGTTCAACCAACTGAAGACCAAAAGCCTAATTTTTTGCAGATCACTTCTATACTAGAAATGTTTTTTATATCTAGACTTTTTTTTAGTGCTGGAATCTAACCAGGCCCTTGTGTCTACTAGACAAGCACTGTACCTCCAAGCCATGTCCTCAAACTGTCAGATACTTTTCTGCTTGTCGTTGTCCCCCCAACATACCTATTTATGTAGCATTTACACTGTGTTAAGCATTGTAAGTGCCCTGCAGAGATTAGGGTATATAGGAGGGTGTGTGCAGGCTGTATATCAACACTATACTATTTCCTACGAGGAACTTGAGCATCTGTGGACTTTGGTATAGATGGGGCTCCTAGACTCAATCCCTCACCAAAGGTCAGCTATTATTTTCACTCTGTCGTGATGTGGCAGCCTTGGAGGGCTCCACACACAGGGCATATGCTCCATCTGCATATCAGGCCGGGTGGGGGTTCCTTCATTTGCCCACGACCTGTGTGTGCTGCCCCCAGCCTGGCTCAGCACGCCTCCCTTCTCTGCAGGGTGGACTCCTTCCGCGCAGGCGCCGAGGGCAGAGGACGCAGCGCCTTTCCCCGCCGCCGCCCCACTCACTACACCGTCACGGTGCCAGACTCCTGCTTCCCGGCGAGCAAGCCCCCACTGCCTCATCCTCACCCTGCCTGCCACTCCTGCTCCGAAGACAGCGGCTCCGATGTCTCCAGCATCTCCCACCCCACCTCGCCGGGCAGCAGCAGCCCTGACATCTCCTTCTTACGGCCTCTCTGTTCCCCCGAGCCACCTCGCCACCACGGGTCCTGGGCCACGGCCTGTGGCCGAGAGCTGGTCCCCCACTACCCCAAGCTGCTGCTGCCCCCCGGGTACTTCCCGGCTGGGCGGTTCGTGATGGTGTCTGAGAGCCACCTGCCGCCGCGCGAGTGGGAGCTGTGCCACGCCGGCCTGGGCCCTGCGTACGCCGAGGAGGGCGCGCCCCTGCGCTACCAGCGGCTGGTGCCTGCGCACAGCCGCATAGTGCGGACGCCGTCGCTGAAGGACAGTCCCACGGGCCGCGCGCTCAGCAAAGCTGCCGTCTCGGAGGAGCTGCGCTCGTGGCACGAACGCGCACGCCTTCGGAGCGGCCGCCCACACTCGCTGGACCGCCAAGGAGCTTTCCGGATGCGGAGCCTGCCCCCCGGAAGAGAGGGCTTTGGACGAGTCCTGGGACCCCGTGGGCAGGTGAGCCCTGCAGGATCCCTGGGGCAGGACAAGAGAGATGCTAGACCAAGAAGGGCTGCTTTCTGGCAAATCCAGGAGTAGAGAAAACTGAATGTGGTGGCTTTCACCTGTAATCCCTGCCTTCTGGAGACGGAGGCAGGAGGATTGCAGCGAGTTTGAGCCCAAACTTGAATTATAGAACAAGATACTGATTCAAAAAAAAAAAAAAAAAATCAAGAGTAGAGAGGTATTAGACTAGCAGTCTAGTGGCCAGATAGAACTGACAGGCCAGGAAAAAAAAAAGACTTCCTCTTACTTTTGGAAGGCACCTATGATTTCCCTGAGGCGCCTCCTAATTTTGCCTGCCTTGTCTAGCTGAAAAGAGTGCATACCTTGTGCCTTGGTAGAAATGATCGGAACAGATAACTACCACCCCCCTCTGGCTTCACAGATGATCCACAAAACAGATAAGCTTCTTCATAATCATAGGTCCTTCCCAAATTATCCCCTGGAATTTACTGACTGGAGGGCACAGGATGAAGGTAGAGTCTGGAAATAGGCTTGAGGAAATCAGCACTTGTGCTCGCCTGTCTGTTGTGCTGCTTCCTGACACCAAGCTGAATCGAAGATGACATCACAGTTAGGAGCACAGACCCTTGAGCTAGTTGACCAGGTTCAAATCCTAGTACTGCTTACATGCTATGTTACTTACTTCACTGCTCTGGGCTTCTGTTTGCATCTGTAAGATGCAAGTGTAGTAAAAGACATGTTTCATAGGGTGGATAAGAGGCTAAAATGTTTGGAGCAGTGCCTGGTGTGTACTAGGTAAGTGACAGTTTGTCATCCAGAATCGCAGGGGCCAGTAGGTAGTACGTAGGATGCTATGAGGGTGCAGCCTGGGAACCTCATTTCATCGTTCTGTAAGTGGGGAGAGGACCTATGAATCCTTTCTTTGTTCTTCTTCCCTGGTACTGAATCCCCACAGGGGATGTGCTCCAGAAGTTATCAACAGGCTGCTGCTTTGAGACCCCAGATTCCCAGCGCCCAGCTGCATGCCCCCCAGTACCCACCCCCCCATGGGAACACATACACCAGTTCTTTGGGCTGCAGCTGCCATCCTGGGCTGGGCAGCGCTTTGGCATGGGCCCAGCCACACCCTCCAGCTGACGTCCTCTCCCCTCCTGCGAGCTTGGACCTGTCCTTGGCCCACGCCTGGCCCATACCAACCTGCCAGACAGGGAGAGTGATGAGACTCGAGCCCAGGAAAGGTGGGAAGGAGGAGGTCAGGGTGCCTGTCACACCCCAAAGGAAGCTGAGTGACAGATGGATAGAGGATCATCCCTGGGGAGCACAGCCTCATGGGGAAGCAGGGGTTACTGCTGGTCTGTGTCAGTAAGAGGTCACCATGTGTAACTGGGTTTGCTGTCCTGGCAGTTCTGCCTGGTTTGCTCACCTACCTCTCCTTCCTTCCTGCCCCTGGCAGATGCCTACTGTGTGTGTGCTTCGGAGAGCGCCCGATGGGGCCCCTGTGCAAGTCTTTGTTCCTGAGAATGGAGAGATCATCAGCCAGGTGTAACTCCGTGTTCTACGTGCCTTGGCCACTGCTGGAAGACTGTTTCACGGTGGGGCCAGGGCTGGCCCCTCACCCTTCCAGTGCGTGTCTCGGCTCCCCCAACTCCATCGCAGGCCGATGATCTGGAGCTGAGACGTTCCTTATTTTTTGGACTTTTTTATACAATTTTTTTCAGATGTTCTGACTGAGAATTTGTATCTGTGATTTGTCCACAAGCTCCCTATAATATGATTGCATCGTATCTCCAGAGTCTGGACTCAAGGCCTTGCCTATCCAATTACACATCTGTCTTCTTAAGCAAGACAAGTGGCAGCGAGGGCCACCTCAGGATTCCTCACACCCTCTGTGCTCCGTGTCTGAGAAAGAATAGGCCTGGCACTGCGGAGCCTGGACATGGCCCACACTCATGCATGGGTTTCTCCCCGATTTCCCGGGTCTCTGGGTTCCACAGGCCTAGGGAAATGCTCCTTCTCCCTTTGTAATGTGCTCTGTGATGCACACAGGTGGCAGTTAAAGGTCAGCATATCCTGGTGGAGTCATGTCTTCCTGTACCCCACTATTTTCCTGATCCCATAAATCCCTTTAGGCGTCTCAATCACTGCCCCCTCTTTATGCCTTTGGGCTCCCAAGCCAGTGGCACACCAAATCATAGTTTCAAGGTCCTGGACTGGGTCTGGTCTGTGCTGTTGGTTGGTGGGAAGCAGCTCACCATTGGACCAACTTGCCAAGCATCACAGGGCCAGGTGGTCTGCTCTCTGGCATCTTTTCATCATGGCCCTAAAAAACAACACTTTACAAATACTTTTGGAAAGACATCACTGATGGCAGCTGGGAAGCGGACGATGAAGAGCATTGCTGCTCCCGCATGTCTGCTCTGAGCATCCTTATTTGTACACACCCAGGAAATGCTTCCTCCTGAGTCCTGATGAGAAGCTGGGCTGACTTAACGATTTGTCCCAGCTTCTGAGATGACAACTCCAGAAGTTCTAAGGCCACTTTAATTCCTGGATCCTAGGCCTCCCCTTACTGCCCAGTCAGATGCCCAGTTTCTTGCCTGGAAGAAGAAGCAACAGATGGTATAGGGAATGCCCACTCCAGTTTTGCCAGTGCAGAACTCTATCCTGTAAGTTCCCTGGAGTAGGACATAAATAACAGATGTAGTGACAGGCTCTAAGAATGACACTGCCAGGGCTGGGGATTTAGCTCAGCGGCATAAGCGCCTGCCTTGCAAGCAGGCAGTCATGAGTTCGATCCCTGGTACTGATAAAAACAAAAAAGACAAAAAAAAAAGAATGACACTGCCCCTGGGGACACAGTGGCATAGCTGATTGCAGAGGGGGCTGAAGGAAGAACCAGGGTAGTGTACAGGAGTCAGGGAGGAGAGTGGAGCCTGAGGGACGGCACTGGCATTTCACTGCCCTTGCCACATCTAACAGTGGTCTCCACCTTGGGCCCTGTCTTCTCCATTATGTTTGCGTGGCCTACTATCGTTTGCCATTAGGTCCCTCACCCTCCCTTTCGTTCAGCTGCCCACTTCCCTCGTGTCTTCTGTGGAGCCCAAGCTCCTGGGCCTGAATGTACTTAATTTTAACTTATTCGTCCTACAGTTGCTAAGTGGCCCTGTCTTCAGCTGTGGGGCTGGCACATGGGTCTTCGTGCCAAATACTTAAATAAAATGTTTTCTTTGTGATTGGTCCAGCTCAGCATGAAAAGTGTTTTGTGCTAAGTCTTCTGGGCAGAGTTAGCACCCGGCCCCTCGGGGTGTCTGCCCAAAGTAACCAAGTTGCCTGGCCTCTCCAGCTGGTCTGCCTAGGTCCCCAGGTGCAGACGGGATGGGCAAGACGGCTGAAGGAGGCGCTCAGACTGCTTCCCTCACCAGAGGGAAGCAGCACCCACTGAATAGCTGGGCTCTACAAGTGGTTTCCTGAAGGACGGGGCTTTGCCGCATTCCCTGCCCTGGCTTCCGCTCGGCATTCCCTGCCCTGGCTTCCGCTCGGCCTGCCCTGGATAGGAGGGGCACGGATGAGTGGCTCCCACTGTTCTAAACTGTTGTTGCCATAGCTCTTGGTTACCTGGAGTGGAGGCTCATGAAAAACAACGCCTTCCCAAAGGCTAGAAGACCGAGACCTTACCTGGGGAGTGAGGCGGGACTCCGCCCCTAAGACCACCTCAGGCTCCCCTCCCTCTACCGGGAGAGCGCCTGGTTTGGGGTGGGGGTGGAGCCTCAGCTGGGATCATTTTTCTGGTTGCCTAATAGAGGGCGCTCAGAGTCAGGGGTCACAGCGCCCCCTAAAGCCACAGTGCCCGTACAAGCTAGCCTGTGGGCTGGTTCTGAGGTGCCAGGTGTGTCAGGTAAAAGGGTCCCTGCCTACCTGTTGCCCACAGCTAGAGAAAGGGTCGGACATGAAGGGTCTGGGTGGATGACTGCTTGCAGGAGCGACCCCAGCCCTGCCTGCGTGTTTGTCGCTGCGGATTGTAGAAATCCCCTGGGTCTTAGGAGCCTGGTTCCCTTAGGCCTCTGGGCGCTCTGTGCTGGGAGTTGATGGGCCGGGACGGGAGATAGCTCTGGGGTCTCCGGACCTATGGGCATCGTGACCTCAGACCTAGACATTTTTGACTTAACTAGGGATTGTGGAGATTGGGGGTTGAACCCAGGCCTTTACACATGTAAGCAAGCACTGTACCGCTCACTACAGCCCCAAATCCTTGATTCTGTATTTTAGAGCATTGTGGTGGCTTGGGGCCAGGGAAATTCTGATGGAGTATCAGAACCTTCCCAGGAGATGACCTGTCCGAGGACTAATCTCCCATCAATAAGGCAACGACCAGCTACAAGGAGGGAGAGACAGAAGTGAGGACCCCACAGCAAAGCTCTGAGAGCAGAGTAGCCCCTGGATATGTCCGCGTGGGGATCTGAGTGGGCAGCAGCCTCTTCCTGGTCTACAAGCGGGATTACCTGGGCTGTGCCTGAGTGGTGGAGATTTGGGGGCTCTTAGCTCCCGCGCCGTAGGGCAGAAGTGGGATTATGAACTGTGGGTGGAGACAGGTTTTTGGGAAGAGACTACAGAATTTTAGTTTAAGACTCGCAGAGGTAGAGGATGGCGCCTGCCGGAGTCTGAGATTCCCCATGCCGTGAGACACCTGAATGGAAAACTCCAAGTCAGATGAATGGGGGCCTCTCTGAGGGTCCTGTCTTCCCATGGGGAAAAGCGGGACGCAGCAGGCAGCCGTTGACACTGCTCAGTCAATTCTTTTCTTGGCCAGGACTCTCCTGCTGTTTCACCTTCGAAGGCAGAAGCAGCATCCCCAGGAAGGCTCTTTCCTACCAGGCCAGGCTGCTGTTCTCCAAAGCTGCAGGCTCCCGCTCCACGTGTGCAGATGAATCCAAGTTCTCACAGGCCAAAATCAAGGGCAGTAGCTTTCAAACATTCAACGTACCGTGACTTTTGGAATCCAAAATTACAGGGTGAGCAATTGGCCCAGAACAGGGCTGACCTCGACTCACTGCAGCAGCTCAGAAGTGGCCCTAGCTTAAGAGGTCATGGGACGAGCATGGGGCTGTCCATCACAGTCACAGCTCCGGTCTCTGCTGGCCTGTGTCTTCCTGAGAGGCCTGAGTCATGCTGGGAACTGGACAGTGTTAGGACTCTGGGTGAAAGCTTTCCAGACAGAACTTCAGTTGCTACTGATATGGCAGCAACCCCTAGTGAGGTCTGTCATCAGACCCACCATCCCCGAATTCCAGATTTTACATCCAACTACTTATGTCACCAGGATTTTTGTTAATGCACTCTTAACCCTAACCCTTACTTTTACTATCAGCTGCAGGCAGTAAGAGGGAACTCCCCATATCAGTAAAGTGTTACTCATTCTGAATTTTCAGCCCAAAAACTTGACTTTTTAAAAAATTTTATTTATTTATTTATTTGTTATCTTTTTGAGACAGGGTCTCGCTGTGCAGTTCAGCTCACTTCATAGCCTAGGCTGGTCTCAAACTCACACAATCCTCCTGCCTCAGCCTCTCGAGTGCTGGGATTACAGGTGTGAGCCACCACACCCTGGTTTTTTTGTTTTTTGTTTTTTTTTGTTTGTATTAGGGATTGATCATTGCACTGGGCTATATCCCCAGTTCTTTTGTTTTGTTATTGTTTAAATATTGAGACAAGATTTCACTAAGTCACTCTGTTGTCCAAGCCCACTCTGTGGGCTTGAACTTGCTGTCTTGCTTCAGATTCCAGAGTGTGCTACCACACCTAGATTTTTGTTTCTGGTACTGGGAATTAAACATAGGGTCTCACGCATGTTAAACAAGGTTCTACCACTGAGCTACATTTTATGCCCTTTTTATTTTATATTGAGAGACTTTTTAAGTTGCCCAGACTGGCCTCAAACTTGTGATCCTCCTGCCTCAGTCTACTAAATAGCTGGGATTTCAGGCATGTGCCCCTGTACCTGACTACTGTCTCTCATATTCACATCTAGCCTATCAGCTGCTCCTACTGATCTTCAAAATAGGTACAGACTCCGCCCACTTCCTACAAACTACTTCCCCTGCTCTGTGCTGCCATGTGTTCCTCCTGTGGATTGCTATCCTAGTCTCCCACCTGGTCGCATTGGGAGAACTTAATTTGCTCAAGATCACTCCTTACATGATCATTCTATTAAACTTCACAATCAATAGTACCATCTTCTCCACTGTGGAAACTGAAGTAGACAGTGTTTAGTTTGCTGGAGGTCACAGGGCTAATGAAGTAGAAGCTGAACTTCAATGCAGCAGAGCAGTTGGGTACCAGCATGGCTGTGTTTGACCCCCGCACTTCAGCTTGCAGCCCTATCCTGGGATCACTTGCGTTTGCACAACAGTGTGAAAGGGCAGCTGCGACCTGAACTTGGGCTGTTGCCTCGTATTCTCCAAGACCCAGCACTTGCCACCATTTCATTCTCTTGCTTTATCTCCTCTTGACTACAAGGGATGGACAGGCTCTTTCCCTGCCCTTCATGTGTGTCATCACTTGCTGCTGGAGACACCCAAGAGCTATGCTGCCAGCACCCCTCACCCCTCTACACACCACCCCTGATGACAGGGAGGCTCCAGGGATGACTTAGTTTTGGGTTCATTCATTATCAGGAGCTTTAAAGCAGCTCTGCGACCATGTCATAAATCAGTGCTATAAGGTGGTATAAAGCTTTCTCTTTTCAGGGCCTGGAGTTTAGCTCAGCGGTGTAATTGCCTGCTTGGCAAACAAGGTTGTGAGTTTTTTTTTTCTCCCCCACCGGTACTGGGGATAGAACTCACAACCGCCTACTTGCAAGGCAGGTGCTTATGCCCCTGAGCTAAATCCCCATCCCCAAGGTTGTGAGTTTAATCTCCAGTACCACAAAAAAAAAAAAAAAAAAAAAAGCTTTCTCTTTTCCCAGTCGTTCTTCCATCCCTGGCCACATCTGGTCTGATGCAGAAAATCCTTTAGGTCCTCAACTGAATGCCTCCTCCTTTGGCTTCTGGGGATCACAGAGTGGTGCTGTAAGTGGCCACACCTGAAGAAGCTGGGCCTGGGAATCCAGACACCTACACCAGAACTCTGGGATTTCTGAGCCTTCTTCGTGGAACGTGTTGGAGGAAGATGGCTTTGCCTTCCTCCACCAACTGATACAACCAGCTAAACTCTCTCCTATGATGTCCCTTTCCAGCGTTGTGCCAATCAGAAAGAGAAGCCTATTGGTTAATTCTGGACTTTATGGAGCAAGAACACATGGTAAGGAAATTCTTCAGAACTTTTCAAGAACTGAGGAGGAAAAAAATGGGTGCTTATGCTTTTTTAGGATTGGAGACCTAGCCCTGGTGTGGAAGGCCCCAGAAATTCAGGGGCCTCTTGATCTGGGGCAATCTTGGTGGCGAGGCTACTAAGCAGGGTGGCTGGGGCACAGGCTTTATAGCTCCTTCCTTTCCTGTGTGAAGGATCTTCCTCATCCATTCCTACTTCTGCTGCCCTTAGAGGGCACCAGAGGGGCCCCAGGACGTTGGTGGGTGCTCACCAAGGGGATTAAGACCTTGCTGAGGAAATCAATTGTGCATGTTAGGCAAGTGCTCTACCACACCAAACTACACTCCTTTTATTATCTGAGACCTGCATTAAGATGCTGTGAGTCTGGGCTGACTGTGAGGGACAGAGTGAGCCCGCTGCAGGTCTCAAGTATTGATCAATTATAAATGAAGGGCTGGGAAGGACTTCTTTTGTTCTAGTCCACAATGGAGAAGCAGAATTTCCTCAGGGCTGTGGAAATCCTGAGTGATGCTGTGCGTACCAACGGGAATGGCAATATGAACGATTATTATCCCAAAGCTACCCTGGCCAAGAAAATTGAGGTGAGGAAGACCTAGGTTCTGGCAATTGGCCATCCATCAATAAAGGTGACAGTTCCCAAAAGACTCACAACCCAACGTGACTTTCTGAGGGGAATTCTCGATTTTTCCTTTTCTTCTAGATGTTAATCCTGGAAGAATCCACTGAGACTCTGGAGAGCAGCGTGCGCCAGCAGGCCATGCTGTGTGTCGTGGCTTTAAGGTCCCTTTCCTCTTATGACCCTTACATGGCCATTGGGGTTCTGATGCTGAGAACATTTGGGTTGGGAAGAAGGACACAGTATGGGGACTTGAGATTTGGGCTGTAGGTGGCAGGGCTCCATCACCACTGCTTCATCTGCCTGTATCCTGGAATAGTGAGGCTGCTCTCCAATTTCACTCTCCAATTTCTCCAATTTCACTTCTCTACCTGTGTCAGGTAGAGAAGCTGCCGCAACAACTAGGGGCCCCCTGCTCTGCCAAGGGGCCTTTGGAAAGGGACTCACCATTTCCTGTACCTTGGAGAGAGTAGCAGAGCAAACTACCCCAGAGGGTCCTGGAAACATCACCCAACCTCTCACTGGATCCCCTAAAGCCCTTTACTTCCCCCACCTCTTCCCCCAGCCAGCTGAATCCACCATTCTACTTACCTGAGATGTTGGACCTGGTCAGCGTAGGCATCTCCAGTACATTCTCTCTGCCATTCATCATGCCCAGTCCTGACCGAAGGGACAGCGCTAGTCTCTACCTTCAGGTAATCTCCGCCATTGCCTCTTGTTGAAGATGTCCGTGCGGGGAGACTTTGTCTTTGGGGCCCTTTCCTATCTCTTGGCCTCTGGCCTTCCTCCTGCTCTGATCTTTCAGGATCTCATGGCATCATAGTCTTCATGCTGCTCTGAGCAATCCTGGGCTGCCTAATCTTCACCTGTCTCCCCAGGGAAGGGCTTGTGTCCCACCAAGGCCTATCTGACAGCCTCAGTCTTGGGAGGAGACCCATAGATTCTAAGAAATAAGAAGACTCATAATTGGCCAGTAGACTGTTAAATCTTCCCAAAGATTTTTAGTTTTAAAAATAGAAATATCCAGGGCTGGAATGTGTATCTCAGTAACAGAGTCCTTGCTTAGCATGCCCGAGATCCTGAGTTCAGTCTCCAATACTGCCCGCTCCATGCAAAAAGTATCCTTCTTCATTAGAATGAGTCTCTAGGCTGGGGATTTAGCTCAGTGGCACAAGGGCCTGCTTGGCGAATGTGAGGTCATGAGTTCAATCTCCAGTACCCCCCGCCAAAAAAAAGTGTTACCGAATAAGAATGGTAAGAATCCTGTAGGCTGTTTGCTGGGGAGAACGTCCCAGTACCCACAGTTCACTGTGTGTTCCACGGTTTGGGGTGGGCTTGGTGTCGCTTTTCATGAGGCCAAGAAAGGTCACTCCAGGGAAGATCAGAGTGTAGCTGCCCCCCGAGAAGGTACTTGGGGTGGCAAAGCCCGGCTGGCTCCCTCTTCCTTTTTCCTGGGACAAGGTATAGAGGGACAGGGGCTGGAGGGAGAGGTGTGCCCAGGGATTAAGCTAGCTCTGTGGCAATCTTCCTGCGTGCACCCTGTTCCTCACTTACCAGACGATCCAGGCTTTAGACGACATGTTACAAGCTCTTGTGATGGATGATATGGATCCTGACATGCTCATACTGGAAAAGTTCCTGGAAGTGAGTGGCCAGAGAAACTTGTTTCTAGATCTGTATGTTTGGCCGGAAAGGAAGGCATGGGGTGATGGTGTGGTATCCCTCTTTCCAAAGATCATGGGTCAGTTCCCAAAGCTCAACATGCATAAGTATCATAAGCATCACTTGGGGATAGAGATACTGAGCTCTGGCCCTGACCAGGGTGGAGCCCTCAAGGAATTCACTGTTGGAGATCTTGCTCTCCAAAGATGAGTGGTACCCTACCTCTTTCCAGTGCTTCACAGAAAATAATGGAGGAAATTGATTTACTTTAACAAGTGCAATAAAATTGATAAAATACATTTTTTATATGCAACCAAGTGTGGATTATATTTACTACTTTCAGATAATTCTTTTTTTTATTTTTAATTTAATTTTATTTTTTGATACTGAGGTTTGAACTCATGACCTCACACTTACCAGGCACATGCTTGAGCCACTGAGCTAAATCCCTGGCCTAGTAATTCTATTTTTGAAGGATAAAATTTTTATTTTTGAGGAATTTCATACTGTACATTTCCAAAGACACTTGCATAAGAAAACAAAAATGTTAATCTCCTTCTCATGAACATTAATAAGGACATAAACTATTCTTAAAAAGTGTGATACTTGGAAGTTTAGCACCACCATCTGAAGTGAACAAAAAGGAAAAAAAAACCAGTATATAATTTCAGACTTCTCTGCATGTAGTTCCAGGTCTCTGCATGTAGTATTAAAATTTTTTTTGTTCAATTTATATTACTAAAACAGTAAAAACTGAGAAAAAATATAAACCTGTTGGTAGCTGAAATGGGGGAGGATGCTCTCTTGTATTCTGAAGCTGGCTGGAAATATTTGCTGACATTTTCCCTTTGCAGTTGTTGGTTTCTCAGAGAATAATAGGACACATTCTGTCTTACTCTTCTGCTTCATCACTTTGCTATTTCTTTGGTGTTGGCAAGATTGTGGGACACTCTTTGCTCTGTTTTGGATGGTCATTTGCTCTCTAGGTCACCTCTTTGCAGTCTTGGGCAAGAACATTAGGAGGATGGGGTGAAGTGCCCCAATAATCCAAGGATGCCAGGGATTCTCTGAGGTTTTTTGAGCAGTAAGTTGGGATTTGATGGACTGGCCCTGGAAGCCAAGCTCCTCGGACTGCATCCTTCCTCTCTCCCATCTTCTGCCGGTAATTTTTAAAACAAAACAAATCAAGTGCACCTTTTTTAGATACAATTTTTCCTACAAAATTACATGATGATATCACACTTGACTACACACAGCTGGATTACAAGGAGGACTGATTTGGAAACAAATATTTGAAGAGTATATAGTTTTCCCATGGCCTTTCCTTTTTTTAATTTTAAAAATTATGGTATAATTTACATACAGTGTAATTCACTCTCAGTGTGTAGCTAAGCAGGGTTTGAAAAATATGTCAGTCATATAACCAAAAACACAATTAAGCTTAGAGCAGGTCTAATCATCTGACCTCCAAATCCCCCATGACTTTTTTTGGGGACTGAGGATCGAACCCAGGGTCTTCTCTTGCATGCTGGGCAAGCCCTCTACTACTGAGTTGCATTCCTAGCCCGTTTTATTTTGAGATGGGGCTCACTAAGTCATCCAAACTAGCCTCAAATTTGCAGTCCTCCTAACTCAGTCTCCCAAGTAGGTAGAATTTCTAGTGTACATCATCTCCCCCAGCTACTATTATTAATTTCTAGAAATTGATAACTCTGAGTCTGATCTTTCAGAGACCACTTCACTCCTTCTCTTGACCTAGCAGGTAGGGCTCTGTACAGCTATGCTGCCAAGCAACCCCATCTTTTCATCGCCTTCTGCTTTGTAATTCTACCTGGAAGGAGCAGCACCATCTTTAAATACTGCTGTAGAAGAGACTCTGATGGTACTGTACCAGGTGCCAGAGACTCAAACACACCACCTTTTTGCCAAGTTCTGGGGTCCATGTGCTCTGATGCCAGCCACAGCTCCATCCTGGTTGTCTTTTTGGTTGTCGGAGATGTAGCATGCAGACACAGGGGCAGCAGTCCCAGGGGTGTGAGTGCTGACCATCTCTTTGCTCCCTGTGCAGATCATCTTGCCTTGGTTGACACAATCAGACAAAGTGCACGAGCAGGTCCGGGCCTTGGGCACCATTTCCCGGTTGCTGAGGTTCATTTGCAATTTCCTTACACTGTTGGTGAGTGTTGGCCCAGTGGGTCCTACTTATCTGCTCAAGGGGCACCTAGTGGAGCGTAAAGCCCTGCGGGTGGTACCTAGACGGTGGATGGTCAGGGTGCCTTCCCCTTTTTTGCTAATGCATCTTTTCTGTTCCTGTGAGACAGAAGACTTGACTTGATGTGTTTTGCCCTGGTCTTGTGAGCTCCAATTAGCCAGACATATTCAGCTTGCTGGGGGACCTCAGCCTGCCCCAGCTGCCTACCACTGTGTTTAGGGGTCTGGTTGCCCTCTTCCTTTGGGTACTTATTAGGAATGTTCCTTTTGGCCAGGATGGAATGTAGACCCAGACAGGGGAGGAGACACACATAGGCAAAGGACTTCATGGTGTGGGAAGGAGCATAGGTTGGGCCTCACCTTACAATTCCCCATCGGCCTGTCACAGTCCTGGTGGGAAAAGCCCCTTCCAGGATGGTGAGAGGTAACCTTGTCCCCTTTCTGGCAGCACATGGAGGTATTCTCCATGAATGGGAAGCTGATGGGCATCTTGAGCCTCTACTGCATGAGCTCGAACCACGAGATCAGACTGGGGGCATCAGAGGCTTTGAATTACTGGTCCAAAATCCTTGTGCTTCAGAGAAGTAAGCAATCTAAGCCCAAATGCTGACCGGGGACCCACTGAATGAGTGTGTGCCCCTGTGTCACACGCACCAAGGGGGCAGTTCCCTCCTGGGAGGGGCACCGGAATCAACATGCTAGGATGTCCCAAGACCCAGAAGCCCAGCTGAACAATTCCAAGCAGATTTGGAAACTTTATCTGGATGAGCTTCAAACCTACCCCCGAGACAATGTCATTTTTAAAGGAATTCTTGGGGGAGGAAGGAAGCTAAGCTTGCAGCACCTAATGGAATCGACTTGGAGCCTCAGGATTTCAACTGCCTTTCCCTACTGGAAATGAGCATCCTTTCTCAGGGAAGAGATCTGAGGCTCTTTGATCTAGTCCCTTTTTGCCCTGGGAAAACCAGAGATACAGGCAGCATCATACACAGCAGTGCCAGGGAATTTGCAGTATTCAAAGGCAGCTTCAGAGATGCTTTTTGTGATTTGATGGGTATGCAGGGATGGGCTGACACGCTGGGGTGGGAGCTGTCCACATTCTGACATATGCAGGAGCAGTGGCTAAGAGTGACCAGACTGAGGCCCCAGCCATACCCTCCTGCTACCTTGCACTAGGGAGTACGCCCCCTTCTGTTGGGTAAACATTATTCTGTGCATTTAACTCTGTTGATCTCTCTGAGATTTGAGGGAAAGAGGGGAGTGTGTGTTCTTTTCCCCACTTACGGCCCAGCCCTTTAACTGCTGTCTTTGGATCGGAGGTGTGAGACAGAAGACAGTGTTCATCCTGAGGAACCTGCAGAAGCACTTCCGTGGGGAATGGTTTGCCAGCCTGCAGAACATCACACTGGTAACCTTTGCTCTGTGCTGTGCACGGCATGCCCAGGATAGGGAGTGCAAGGTGCTAGAGAGGAAGAGAGACAGAAGAAAAAGGGCGGGGGAGAGACAGCAGGAGGTGAGGCAGGAGTGTCTTTAGAATTGATTTCACACAAACGGTGGAGGGGAAAAGTCTATTCTCCAACCTATGCTTGAGTTGATTGAAGTTTGAGGTCACAGAGAGAGTTTTTAAAAGGAAGGACAGTAGGGGCTGGGGATTTAGCTCAGCGGCATAAGCGCCTGCCTTGCAAGCAGGCAGTCGTGAGTTCGATTCCCGGTACCGATGAAAAGGAAAAAAGACAAAAAAAAAAAAAGGAAGGACAGTGATCCTTTTTCTAAATCTCCACATGCCTTTATTTGTGGCCTGGGTCTAACATTATTCATTCAGCAAAGGTGTGCCAGTTGTCTTAGGGATGGTGTCCCCAGACTCAGTCAAATCACTCCTGCCAGAAACCCAGGAGGAATCCACTGTCCTTTCTGCCCCCTTATCTCCACACCCAGCAAAGCTGTGTCTGTCCATTCCGCCTCCTGAACAGCTCTTGCCCACTTCTCCAGCCCTGCTGCAGTGGTTTTGACTCATTGCACGATCATCTCTTGCCCGGCTCATTGCAGCAGTGTCTTACTGGTTGTCCTGTTTCCAACTGTACCCCATTCACCCCATTCTCTATGCTACAGTCAGAAAACTGCTTCTTCCTGCAGACCTGGTCGTATCATTCCCCTCAGTCTGTGCACTGACTTCCCACTGTCCTTATTCTGAAACCTGGACTTCTCACTGAGCCCTTCGGCCTTTCGTGATCAAGCTTGTGCTTTAGCTGCCCGGTCTCACCACATGTCAGTTTTCCTTTTTCACTTGGCCCAGGTCTCCCACGCAGCACACAATAATCAGACGGAACTCCTCTACGCACTAGGCATGTGTACATGCTGTTCCTGCTGCTGCAATGCTTCCCCCCTCTTTCCTTGCAAGTGGACCCTAAGAAGCTTTCTCTATTCGGTCAGCCCAGCTTCCACTTCCTTTCTGCCTCTTCATTGTCATGACCAAGGGCAAAGGCATTGAGATCTTGTTCTCAGTTGTCCCCAGCTCCCAGCAGAAGCAGGCACAGAGCTGCATCAGTCTTGTTGGAATGGTGAGATTCACTGGATTGTGTAGATCCTGGGTCACAAGGCAGGTCTGCTCTAGCAACGAAGGTCTTGCTTTGGAATGCTGCAGACTCACTAGATATCAGAATTCATTTCCAAGGGACTTAGCTCACTACATTCCAAGCTCAGAAGAGAAATGCCTTTCCCCTCTTCACCACACTGTCTGGAGCATTGTTCCTTCTTGGGGACTTCGGAGTTTGGTGGCACTCTAAAGCACGAACTCACACCACAAAAAGCCAGATGCTAGCCATTGTCTCTCTGAATCCTGACTGCCTGGTGTCCCTGGAGGCAGGAGGCTTTGGGGCAGTCTTGGCATGGCAAGATGGTGGCATGGCAGAGACAGCCCTTGTATTCTTCCTCAGATCTTCAGGAAATACCTGACCCCCATGGAGAGGGCCGATATGATCCTGGTGACCATGGAGGGCATGACCAGCAGCAATCGGAATGACGTCTACGCAGCCTCCAAAGTGTTAGAAACGATCCTGAAGTACCCTATTCCAGAAATTGGGAAGGTAGCCTTTTTGGGGGGCTCAGTGTTTCAAAGTCTACTTACAAGTTTTTTCTTTTTCTTCTTTTTTTCCATCTAATTCTTTTTATTCCCTATGAGTTTGTGTTAAAGAAATCCCAATCCGGACAACCTCATACACATGTGTGCAGCCCCATACCTGATGCAGGGGCCTGGCTATGCGACTCCCACTGAGCCGGTGCTGTACTTGCAGAAAGAACCTCCTTCTACCTCTTTTTAGGTGCCAGAAATCATTCAATACATTTACTTCCATGTGAACAATGTCACTGAGGCCACTGCCCAGAGCATCATAAGCAAGATCCTTCATCTCTTGTCCCAGACCTACACTGATGAAGTGATCCTGACACTGTTTAAGATAGAAGACCAGTCACAAACGTAAGTGGCTTTACCAGTTACAGCTCCCAACGGTCTTTTTGTTTTTTCAAAATGCATTAAATTTTTAATAGTTTCTTATTTATTTGTGGCACAGTAATTCTAAAACTCATGTAATTTATTACAGAAAATTTGGAAAGCATGTGGAACTTAGAAAAAGCAAAGGAAAGAATCAAATTTCACCCAAAGTACTTTCTACTATCACTTGGACATAATTTATAATTTGTTCACTTGTTCTTGCTTTTGTGTTTTTGAAGTTCTGAGAATGGAATCTAGTGTCTCACTTATGTTATGTAAATGTTCTGCTACTGAGCTGCATCCTTCATGACATTTTTGATAGTGGTGCTTTAAAAAGTCAAGTTTGAAAAAAAAAAGTTAAGTTTGGCTGAATGTGGTGGGACACACTTGTAATCCCAAGGCTCAGGAGGCTGAGGCAGAAGGCTCACCACGAGTTTGAGGTTAGCCCAGGCTACATAATGAGTTCAAGGCCAGCCTGAACTACATAGTGGGACCCTGTCTTAAAAAAAAGCCAAGTTTATACTGAATCTGTCAATTTGTATATTTTTTCATTTAACACTTCATTATAGTATTTCCTAATTTAAATCCTTTTGTGAACATAACTTTAATGGCTGCCTGACATTATATTGTATGGATGTGCTGCACTATAATTTTCTTTTTTAATTAAAAAATAATTTTTATCCAAAAATTCACTCTATTGATAAATGATTATACAAATTTCCTCAAATGCATAGTCCTAATCATCACTACCACAACCAAGATACAACTCCCCAGAATTCTTTGGGCTACCCTTCTGGAGTCTCCCCCAACATCAGCTCCTGGTAATAACTGATGTGTTCTCAATCTCTGTAGCTTCATTTTTTCTAGAACATCATATAAAGTAGAATCATAGAGTATGGAGATTTTTAAACCTGCTTCAATTATTTAGCATTATGTGTATGGGGTTCGTGTATGTGGTTGTATCTGTAGGCCATTCCCTTTAATGTGGAATTGTAGCCCATTGTGCGGGTGTATCAAGTTTATCTATTCACCATGTGGGTTGCTTCCAAGTTTTGATAAATATGAATAATGCTGCTGTAAATATTTGTGTGAAAGTTTTTGTATAAACATGTGTTTTCCTCTTGGCTAAATCCTTAAGAATTGAACTGCAGTTGAACAATATGGGAGGCACATGCTTAATTTTAAAAGAAACAGCTAAACATATTTTTACATAGCTATAGTATTTTGTATTTCCACCAAAAGCATAATGAGATTTCCATTACTCCCATCTTTGTCAACACTTAATACTTTTAATGTTTTAGAAAGTTAGCCACCCTAACAAGTATGTAGTAGTCTTTCATTGTGATTTTAATTTGCATTTTCCTTAGTTAATTACAACTAATGACTGTGAGCATTATTTCATATATTTACTTGACACTCATGTATCTTCTTTGGTCATGTATTTGAACTTTTCACCTGTTTTTTAATTGAGTTTTTTCATTTGTTGGTGAGTTTCGAGAGACCATTTTTTATTATGAATAAAAGGCTTTTGTTGGATATATGATTCTTAAATTTTTCTCCCCTTTTGTAGAATGTCTACTTCTCATAAGAATGCAAAAAATTTATTAATGAAGTACAATTTATCTTTTAGTTTTCCACCATTTGTGGATGTGACTAACCTTTTTTCATTAAATTGCTTTTGTACCTTTATCCATCTATTTCTAAATCTCATAACATTGTTTTATGCATTTGATTTCTTTCTCAATAATCACTTTCTCAGTTGTTGTTATTAAATATTCTGCTCTATGGATGGTCCTTAATGTTCCAGGAGAAAACTCTTTATATCTTTATTTTGTAACGTGTGAATGATAAACTTCTGACTGTCATGACTTGTCACAGGTCTGTAGCCATCTGTCACTCTATGTGTTACCAGGTCAGCATGACCCTCATTTTCATGACTCAGTGCTGGTGACTTTTTCAGTTTTTATCATGTGGAGACTGCTATTTTTTTTTTTTTTTTGGTACCAGAGATCGAACTCTCAACCTAGAGCTTGCCAGGCAGGCGCTTATGCCGCTGAGCTAAATCCCTGCTTTTGTACCTTTATCAAAAATCACTTGACCATATTTGTGTAGGTCTGTTAATAAACTTTCTCCTTTGTACCACTGATCTATACATCGATACAATTGACGATCCTTTCATCAATGTCACACACTTTCCCTTTGATGGTGTAGTATTTCCCCCAACTGAACCCAGGTCTTCGTGCATGTTTGGCAATCTAAAAGTGTCCTTTTTTTTTCCTTGGTACCAGGGTTCGAACTCACAACCACGTGCTTGCAAGGCAGGCGCTTATGCCACTGAGCTAAATCCCCAGCCCTTAAAAGTGTACTTTTATAATGAGTGATGAAATCAACAAGTGTGAGTTCTCTAATTTTGTTACTCTTCCAAAATTGATTTGACTATTCTATTTCTTTTGCTTTTTCTTTCTTTAAAAATTGCCCTTGTGGGTTTTATTTTATTGTGATGGTGTTGCATCTATAGATAAGTATGAGAAAAATTGACATTATCACAATATGAGATCTATGATCCATGAACATGATTTATTTATTTAGATTTTTAAAAAATTTCTTTCGTCATTCTTTTGTGTTTCTCTGTCTCTTCAATTCTTTTTTTTTTTTTTTTTTTTTTTTTTTTTTTTTTTTTTTTTTTTTTTTTGGTACCAGGAATCAAACTCATAAACTCATGTTTGCCAGGCAGGCAGTTATGCTGTTAAACCCCCAGCCCCTTCAGAATCCCCTACCCATTTCCATATATATATATTTTTTTTTTAATTTCATTTATACATGTGTACTTAACAGTACTTAATACACTTTTTAAAAATTTTAGTAGTTTGCAGCAGGTGCCATGATACCCACCTGTAATCCCAGTTCTTCAAGAAGATTGCAAGTTTGAAACTACCCTCAACAATTTAGCAAGACCTGTCTCAAATTTAACAGTCAGCTGAAGATGCAGATCAGTGTAGGGAACTTGCACAAGGCCTTTCATTCCATCCTCAGTACCACAAAAAGCAATAGTTTATTGTTAGTGCATAGAAATAACATTGGTTTCTGGATATTGACCTTATATCTTAAATCTTGCTAAACTCAATTATGAGTTCTTGGTGCTTTCTTGTACATTCATGAGGTTGCACACACAGGTCATTATAGGTGGAAGGGCTCGTCTGGAAGACGGAGATGATGTTCCAGGGCTGTGTGGGTAAAGAAAGCTTGAACAGGGGCACAGGGAAAAGTGTGACCAACAAGCCTTGATCTCAGATTTTTGTTTTGTTTGGTTTGGTTTTTTGATACCAGGGATCAAACTCACAACCTTGCACTTACCAGGCAGGAACTTACACCACTGAGCTAAATCCCTGGCCCCAGATTCTTTTTAAAATCAAGTAAACATTTTCAGACATACCTGTGCTTGAGATGAGAGAGAACGGGGTGATCTGAGGTGATGAAATGATGAGAGGAGAAAAGAGAGGGGAAGGAAAGGAGAAGCGAGAAGGAAGGAAGAAAGCAGAGGAACTGGAGGACCGGCAAAGGAGCCCAGAGCTTTTCCCTGGGAAGCATCATGGAGAGTACAGGGTAACCATGGGGTAACCGTGTTGCTGGCTTCTGCCTCTGCAGAGAGGTGTGCAAACCCTGGGAGATCCTGGCATCCTTTCCGGAAGACTGTGAAGTCATCATGAAGCACCTGCTGCAGAGACTGGTCCCACTGCAGGCACCGCAGGACCAGGAGCGCAGCCAGAGAACAGAGATCTCCCCGCTGATTGTATGGAAGGGCTGGCGACAAGGGAGATGGAGAACGGGGATGGGAACTGGGCAGGGCATTTGCTGGGCTCTGTGAGGGGCTGTCTGCTCTGTGGGCCTCTTCCTTTTGGGTTCTAGTGTTTTGTTGAACATTGTAATGGCAAAGTCCTTGGGATAGGCTTGGAGGGAGGATTTTCCAGATGTTGGGGGATAGAGAGAGGGTAAATTCTAGTCCTCCTGGGACAAATTGAGGTCAGGCAGCAATCTCAAGAATGGTGACAGAAGGGGCTGGGGATTTAGCTCAGCGGCATAAGCACCTGCCTTGCAAGCAGGCGGTCGTGAGTTTGATCCTTGGTACCGATAAAAAGTTAAAAAAAAGAATGGTGACAGAAGCTACCATCACGACTTTAGGAGTATTTAACACAACATGATTCTAGAAACAGCCCTTTTTTCCTGGCTCACATGAATTTAGTTTTCCATTGCTGTGAGCAGAGTGGGTCTTACTGGCAAGCCCTGCCACGTGGTTGGTGGCGGGGAAGGAACTTTCTGGGGACAGGGCCTGTGAATGGTGATAAAGATGATGACGGGAGCACTGTTCTCACCCGCAGGCTACCAGGGCCATCCATGAGCTTCTGCTGAAGTCAAATCAGCAGATGGAGGTGCAGACCTTCTTCTCCCCTCTGTTTATCACGCTGCTTTTCCAGACCTCCTTTCTCATGGTGGAAGGGAATACTGAAATGATCCAGGATCACCGGCACATAACAGAATGGGTGGACCCTGTCAGGTACTTTACATCTTGGGCCAGTGTGCCAGTGACTGTGCCCTGGGCGTCAGCAACTTGGCATCTTTGCTCAACTTGATGCCATACTGCTGACCTCAACATCCTTTCAATGCCCTCTTGAGCATTTAGTATGCTGCTCATACATCATCTCAAGAAGTCTTCCTGGGCTTTTTAGAAAAGTCTCTTTCTTTAAATCTGGCTTGCTAGGCCAATGCAGAGTCAATAGCAAAGTGAAATCAAAGCAAGACCCTCAGGTTCTCCGATGTGGGTTACATTCGCTCCCCTCTGCAGGCTTCCAGTGTCGCTTTAGAGACACCACATTCCTCTTGGCCTTGGTTGTTTCATTTGTCATATGTTACACTGGGTCTCTAAGGGCTGTGCCACCACTAGCAAGCAGGTCACAGTTCACTGGGAGGTTGGGAGTCTGGCAGGTGGCTGGGGAGAAGGAGAAGCGTGGTGATGGTGGGGTGCACCTTCCTGCCTACCTCTCGCTACCTCCCCAGTTCTACTGTGGGGGCCCTGAAGACCTTGATGCACAGATCTGGGTATGGGGACTCAGAGTCTGAAATCGAGAAGCTTGGGGGCTGGGAGCTTCTTATTAATCCTGAAAAACATTATGATGGAGTCACTCTGCTGGCCAGGTAAGCTGCTCCTGGATCCCTGCTGGCGGCCCTCTATGCTTCTGGTCCTCTTCTGTGGCTGAGGCCTATCACAAGGTCTGTGTTCTCTTTTGTAGGTCCTTGGTTACAAAGAACTGCTGGCACAACCGCCCCATGTTTGGTCTCCTCATAAAGATGCTCCAGGACCCCAACTGTGCCAATCACCTCACAGCCCTGGTGTTCTTGATGGAGGTGACTAGTGTGGGTAAAGAGCAGGCAGGGGAGGATGGTCCCCAGGGGAAGTAGCCACTTCCGGTGGACTCCCTTAGCAATGGCCACCACAGAGAGAGAGAGAGAGAGAGAGAGAGAGAGAGAGAGAGAGAGAGAGAGAGAAAGAGAGAGAGAGAGAGAGAGAGGGAGAGAAAGAGAGAGAGAGAGAGAGAGAGAGAGAGTTATAGTTGAGAACATTCTCTCCAATATTCTATATCTTGCTCTCTTCAAGCCTCCTCCTGGATCAATACATATTCTTTGTAAATGTAAAGTTTTATGGGGATAAAATATTGCATCACAAAATGCTCAATAATTAATTGGATATTTTGCTTCCAAGTTTACACTGTTATTAGTAACCTAGCTGCATAGTGGGATCTCTGGGAGACCTATAAATAACAGTAAATAAATAGCACAAATGCTTGGGCTCCAACTCATCATCTTGGGAGTGGTATAGCATTAGGAAACAGCATTTTTAATGGTTCTCCCCATGTCTCCAATGTGTGACCAGGGCCGTTAGTCCTGGAATTGGCGTGCATGTTTAATACTGTATTGCCCAGCATAGCTCAACATCCCCAGGGCTGTGGAATGACAGTGACAGTGCTCTTGTAATAATTTCCATTTGTTCTCCTCCCTTTAAAAAGATATTATTCTTGGAGATGGTGTTTGATTTTTTTCTGTTCCAACAACTTTTCTTTTTCTCTTCTGACCGCTATGTGCTGTGCAACAGTCCTCAGAGTCATCCCTTCTCCATCCCCACTGCTCTTGGCCCCATTATCTGTGTGTAGGTTAAGTTCAAAATGACATGCTGAACAGGCCAGAAGCCATGCCTCCAACGCCAGCTACTGGGAGACTAAGGAAAACTTGCAGAAGGAGTGAATGACTTCTGGAACAATACGTTGTAGATTTACTCTTCAGCTGAACTTTGACCCTTCTACCAATTTTTCCAAAGCCTTCAGAGCACTCTTTTACTAACAAATAGGAACCTAGATTCAAAGTCATTGTTTTCTCTTTGCCCACCTTGTTTGGTCTCTTTTTGCCAGCTGCTCCAGTGCCCAGATGTGGCAGCCTTAGTGAACGACTTCATCACCAGCATTCTGGCCAACTGGTTCAACTGTACGGAGCCAGCCACAGTGAAACTTCTGCTACAGATGACACGGGTCTTCACAAAGCACAAGAACCTGGTAGGATGCAACAGGGGCCAAGGGCATGCTCTCAGATGTCGGCACTTGGGGAAGGCACAGATGGACCTAGAGGCCTGGAGTGTCCAGTTATAGACATTCTTGGAATCAAAGAGTAAACCCTTATGAGGAGAGACCCTCAAGAACAGGATCAAGGCTTGTGCCACTCATGTTTCATCGTTTCTAGGAAAAGCCTCCAAGGAAATTGTCCCATGGGTCACTTCAATGGGACCTCAAACATGTCATCTAAGTCTCTCAAAGATTGGTACCATCATCAGGGATGGGAAAGACAGTGCAGAGCAAACTTACGTAGACGAAAGAGAAGCCTCCTCCATCTTTTCCCCTTTACCTGTGGGGGCAGAAGGTACCTGCCCAAATGTGCTCTGGGTCAGCTCATTCTGATAGCCAATCTAATCCCAGTTGCAGGGTAGAAAGTGGTAGCACCCACTGGTTCTCATGTGCAGAGGGCTGAATTGGAAGTGAGAAATTTCTCAGATTTCCCCAACTGACTCTGAAGTTCTGGGTGGCTCTTGTTCCACAGGAGAAGAGACTCCAAATCCTGCAGCCTCAAATACTGAACTGCTGCTACTCTTCCAATGGCGACATTGTGATGGAGACTTTCTTGGTACTGAAGCACCTTCTGGAGAATCTCACCTGGAAGAACTCCTCTTCCTTCCTTATTCATCTTGCCTTCAAGCTAGAGCCCTTCTTTGAGGAGGTACAGTCCCCTGAGGGCTCCTTTTTGCCTCTAGGTGTCTGGTTCACTAGGATGCCATTCTATGGGTGCTGATCACTTCTGCCTTCTCATCTCGAGACTGAATGGGATGAGGTGGAGCAAGGACAGACCACAGCTGCCTGGGAGAACCCTGCTGAGGGACTGAGCAGACCTTTGAAGGGGTGGGAACACAGGCAGGAGCATGCAGTTGGTGGAGGTGGAGCTCAGGTGACCCTGGTACAGAAGCAGTTACAGAGGCAGAGATATCTTCCCACCCAGGAGTCCGAGCACCTGCGCTTGCTGGCCTTCCAGATCTACAGCCATCTCCTGGTCAAGGTCAAGAGGAGTGTGCTTGTCTTCCCCTTAAAGCACCAGATCTTCAACATGATAGTCTGCCTGGTGCTTCACCTGCAGGATGTGAATTCAGATGTGGCTCAGGTAAGAGGCCCGGCCTGGGGCCTGGCACTCAGCCCCATTCCGATGCTAAGCATGGTTAGCATGTGGACAGGGCTATAGTAGACCTGTTGGGCTCTGGTCCCAGAGAGCTTTTATAGAAGCCAGAGCTGACCAGGTGCTGTACCAGTTTCCTCAAACTTCGGCTCCATCTAGCAAGCCACCAGTTCCAGCAGGACGTGGCAGGTGTGGACACTCTTAGGAGGACAATCCCAGGGACCACCTTTGGCCCCTGCAGTCTTTCTCTAGGCTGCTTTCTGTTTCTACCTCGCCCCTGGGCAGAATGGGACTCCCTAGCTGGAGGCAGAACAGGATGGGGTGGGGCAGCTCTGAGCACCAGAGACCAGGAATGTATATGGCAGCTAAAGAACCTGAAAACCAGCTGAGACCATTTTCAACAGAACACCTTGTTTGCAGAGTGGCTCCTTTGCCTTTTCTGAGGCCTGTTGGCACATCTGCTTAAAAGAAATCATCCTTCCCTTTAAGGGTTCCTCCCCCCAGGGTTCCTCCAGATCACTTCCATGGTAATGTTCCTGACCAAGCCAACCCAGAATCGGAATAGTGACTGTCTTTGGGGAAATCTTTTTTCAGAGATACTGTTTTGGGTGGCAGTAGGGAAGTCATGGAGCTGGTGAGTAAGGCTACAGGGTTGATAGTCACATAATTCTAGGTCTCAATATCTGGAAAAGCTTCCTTCATGGGAAAAAGGGCTTTTCAATAGATTTGATGACCTCTACCTTCCTTCTAACTCTGGTCCCTGGTCTTTCCCGGACTTTCCATCCCAGCATGGCTAAAAAGGCTGCCATTTGGCTTCCCTCATGGTAAGCTCCCTTTCTCCTCAGACCTGCCGGATCACACTCTGCAACACAGCTTCCCTACTGCGCTGGTCAAAGCTGAGCAAAGTCTTTGCCAAGGAAGATGTATTTATCATCGTGAGGGTCCTGGTAAGCCAGCAACCGCCTGTTGCAGGAAAGGCAGAAGCCTTGGTCCTTCTGCAGCTGGCAGTTTGTGGCAGTGACAAGAGTTCAACAATGAGCTGCTAATCCCTGGGCATCTGCTTTGTGTTGGGCACCTGGATTGTGGTTCCTGCCCTCCTACTGCTTCCTGTCTATGTTGAGTAGTGAGGCATAGAATCTAATAATCTCAGAATACTTTGCTAAGGGCTGGAAGGACTGTCATCTTCAGGAGGAGCCTGGAAGACAGGCAAAGAGAGGGATCATGAGTACAGGCTGAGGTGACACCACGCACAGGGTGTAGAGTCAAGCACTTATTCTGCCAAGGACTTTGTACACCATTTCCTGTAGAATTTGTTCTTTTAACTACCCTGAGAAATAAGGGCAAAATAGCTTGATACTGTCTGTGGGGAGCCCTAAGTGGTTTGCAGGGCTATGCAGGGAGACACTAACCAAAGAAGCTGCCTAAGGAGCCCAGGGAAAACAGGAGACCCCACGCCCTAGGCCACCTTCTCCACATGGTCTGACACAGCACACCCTTGATCCGGAACATATCTGGTAACACTGTCTTTACTACCCAAAGTGAAATTTATAAACAATATTATCTACATACGCTGGTTCCAAACTAAACATAATGCTCTTACTCCAAAGAGTAGGGGAAATAACTTATAATGAAACATTATGTGTGACATAACATAACGCCAATCACGTATGTGAAGTTAGTCTAGAAGGCATAAAACAGAAGTTGGCTTCCTATTTCTTACTCAGAATCACAGCTACAGGTGCAGAATGACCCCAGAGAGTGATGTGGGCCTTTAGTCACCACAGGAAATGTTGCCATTGATGATGTGACTTCCAAAGTAATGGGTCATTTTTGGTGGCATACTGAACAAAAGGAAGTATAGTTTTTTTGTTGTTGTTGTTTTGTTTTTGTTTTTTTCCTTTTTATCAGTACCAGGGATCGAACTCACGACTGCCTGCTTGCAAGGCAGGCGCTTATGCCGCTGAGCTAAACCCCCAGCCCCGGAAGTATAGTTTTTGATTTATACTGTAGAAGCATTTCTAGAAACTCAGCACGTATCTGAACTGTGAAACAGCAGTCTGTATTACATGGAAGACAGAGTCAAGATCTGGGCACAGTTTTGAAACAGGGTTTGAATTGGCACAAATATGCAAGGAGATTACAAATTAGTGTGTCCTCCACCATCATTCTGACAATCAAAAACAGCCCTTACTATTCCCAGTTGAGAAGTAACTTGGTATTTCTAAGAAAGAAAGTTAACTTACAGCTGTTAGTTATTCCAAATCGCTGAAAAGCAGAAAATCCTGATTTGAGGTGAAATTTCCCATGTTTATTTTGGCAAGCAATTTGTAACATGAAATCTTGCACGAACCAAAGAAGGTCTGTGGGCTGCTCCTGACTGATGGAGGGGCAGGCTGCAACCTGGGCAGGAGAGAACAGAGCACAGAGCAGGAAGCCAGAGGCCAGGCCAGGCTAGCATTGGAGGTTTGGGTGCAGTAAGGAGCAGGACTTAGAGCTGTAGACACTGGAAGCCGCAGAAGTGTTTTAAGAAATAGGGGTCCATGGTTGGGTAGCTGTGCATTTTAAATAAATCACCAGGCTACAACTCAGAGGAAAGTTCTCAAGGAGGAAACCTGGAGTCCCTGGAGGAAGATGACAAAATCTGATGAAGACAAAAGTCTTGGAGGGATTAGTTGGTTGTGGAGACTGATTTGGTGTGGTGAAGGCAGAGGTCAGTTTTTGGGTTTCTGACCCGGTGTCTGGAGCTGAGGTCAGGAATACAGAGGGAGGGCCAGGTGTGAGAGGGAGCTGGTGGGTTGATTTGTACATGTAGAGTTTGTAAAGTCTATGGTGACTGAGGTGGTCTATCCCACTGGAAGTCATATATCTGTCCCCAAAGCTTGGAGAATGAGGCTGCACTAGAGATACAGGTTTGTGAACGTTGAGTGTATGGCTGATGGAAGGGGACAAGCAGGTGGCCTAGGCTCAGCCTCTCTACCACTTCAACCCAGAGAAGCCCCGGTTTGATAGTTAAGGGTATTGGGTTTAGAGTTAGAGGTTTTAATTGAAAAAAAGATCCTGCTGCCAAAAGTTGGAAAAAACCCCAAAGTCCACGATGTAGCCTCTGTTTAAAAGAACCTCAACTGCAGAGTGCAAAGGAAGTGTCAAGTCATAGCAGGAAGGATATTCAAGGGTGAGGTTAAGGCTGTGGCTACTGCAGGGAGAGAAACTTCAAGGGAGGAAGTGAAAATAGACAGAGAGAGGCTGTGACCCCTGGTAAGAGAGGAGGGTATGGAAATCCTCGATTCCAGGCAGCACCCGGTCTAAACAGATTGTTGTAGACATGACTGGGTCTCTTGCAGCCTTAAGCATATATCCATGAGATTATTTTAAGGCAATGTATAAATACAATATTTAAACCACGAGGTTCACTCTTCTACTGTCAGGAATAGGAAAAAACATGTGTGGGCCAGACTAGGGCAAATCTCTGCCCTAGTCAAGCAGAGTCAAGATCAGACTTTGGTAAATTCAGGAAGACTTCATGGAGGAAATATAATGGAACTGGGTAGGAGAGTTAGAAATGTAGAACATTTGGGAAGACTTTTGCATGTAGTGGATAACCCTAGTTTAGTCCCAACACAGTCTAGCAGGAGAAGTGGCAACAGGTCTTTCTGTGATCAAACACCTCTTACAGCTGCAGCAAGAGACAAACAAAGCACTCTGGTTCCTGAAGCAGTGCGTAGCTTTGTTCAAGAGCACCCAGGTCCCCATTCGCCAGGCAGCGGTGTGGTTTGCAGGTATGGCTTTCACTTTCTTGGGGCCTTCAGTCTGAGTACCTAGGACCCAAAGACGTAATGACAGAGCCCACAGAAGTGATGTAACCTGTGTTAATCACACCCAGAAGCCTCTGCTTGGACTGGGTGATGTTTTCCATAGTAGATGGGGCCTAGTCCTAGGCAGCCAGGGCAGCCCAACTTCCAAAGACATGAGGGATCAGGATCTGGGTGCTGCCCTGTGCAGTAAGTCAGGCAGAGGGCACTGCTTCACATCACCCCAGGGACAAGGGTCTTGGGGGCACAGGGATGGATATCCATCAGTCTACCTGTCAGTGTGCTTAGAACCCTAGGGGAACTGGGAACTAGTTCCAACTTCATGGACAAAGTCCCACGTAGGCCAAGGAAGGATGGTCATTATTTGGAGAAGGGTCCATCCAGGGCCACTGAGGTAGCTCTGTGTGTCCCTCACAGGCCAGATCCTCCAAATTCTGGACTTGGAAGAGATGAATGGAGTTGAGGAGGCTTGTGCAGGTGAATCGCTCATGGCCAGTGGTTTTTAGAGGTACTGGTATCAGTGGGGAAGGTTCAGAAATGAAAGTGTAAGGGTAGTTGCAAAATTATCATCTAGAAGGAGAGAAAATGAGACTTCTCTCCAAGGCATTTAGGTTTCACAGTGTTGGTCAGAGCCGTACTGCACCATCCCCCGCCCCCATTCAATTACTCTCATTGCTGTGGGGTTTGAGTCCACTCATCAGCCAGGATGGATCCTTGAACTCCTCCTAGGAGACACAGCTGACTTCTTCCTTGGGGGCGTGGGGGTTCGCAATTCCTTCCCTCCGGAGCCCCCAGAACTGCTGGTGTTGTGGCCCATACATTCTCCACCGTGGCTCTGGGATGTGCCCTCCGCACATCCTTCTGCCGCCATCTTGTCTCTCACTGTGTGGTCTCCTGACACAGTGGCTCTGGGTGAGGCTTAGCCCTGCCTGCCACTCTCTTGAAGGTAGAGCACTTCACTAGAGCTATTTTGTGGAGGAGGAGGAGGAGGGTAGAGCCAGAGAGAGGAACTCAGGGAGGCCCAAGGGGTTGGGGATGGATACAGGAGAACAGGTGGCCTGAGCAGGCAGACTTGGGATCTGCTGGTAACCAAGGAGGAAGACACCTAGACTCTTGTTCATGTTTTAGAAGCTGCTGGCCCCATCCTATTTTCCTCTTCCTCCCTCAAGTGGGGTGCAGGCCCTCCTGCCCACTTCACTGCTCTGTTCTATAGCAGTGTTTGTGTTACAGCCCTGAGACACATGGAGACCGACCCTGATCCCATGGTCAGGTGCCTTGCTGTGCAGACTATCTACGTCCTGCAAGCCAAGGAGCAGCTGTTGCTGGCTGACCGCTCCACTTCCTGCTTCTGCTGGAGGAGGTCCAAAAGGGGCTACTTTTGAGCCTGCACCCTTGGATTGACACTGAAGGCCTGGACCCCAAACTAACAGCGGGGTCAGCCTCCTCAGCTCTGCACAAGAAATGGCATGTCCCTGCTCTAATAAAAGGAGACATCCTGCACTTCTGTGAGAATAGGTATCAATTCTTGGCTGCCTGGGGTAGAACCTGTGTTGTGAGCCAGGGACTTGGCGTAAATGTCTGAGTCCAGGCCGGCCTCTTTCTGCTCTGCCCCACTCTTCCCTTCCATTCAGCCAAGTGATCTGAGGCCAGAGCAAGCAGTTTCTTTTGAAGCAACTTGAACTGAACTGCAAACTGGGGGTCAGTCTCCAGATTCTGGCTATATTGAGACACACACATATATACATACACACACACACACACACACATTTTATTGTACTGGGCATTGAACTTAGAGCCTTTGCACTGAGCTACATTCCCAGCCCTTTTTTATTTTTTTTGAAATAACTTGCTAGGTTGCCCAGACTGGTCTTGAACTTGCGATCCTCTAGCCTCAGATACCCAGGTTGCTGGAATTATAGGCATGCACTGCCACACCCGGTTTGGGGCCTAGTTCTGATGGTGAACAGTCGAGTCTGCTCTGGTTAGTTGAATCAGGAGTGATTTAATAAAGTGCTATTAGCCAGCTCACAAACTATCCAGGGAGATCAGAGAGTTTGGACACCACACAACTAGGAACAGGTGACTATGAAGCAGCTCCATGGCTCCCCTTTGACTCAGTGCAGACAGTGGCCCAAGTGGGTTTCCAGCTTGGTCACTGTATCTCTAAAGAGCCAATGTCTGTTCCAAGGGACCAGGGCAGTACCTGCTTTCCCCATTTCCTGTCAGAGTCAGCCACACCCTGGCCCCCCTGACAGCAGTCCTTGGATCTATGCAGGCTACTCCTGCAGCCATAGACCCTACTGTTTTCCTGCTACTGCCCATTATCCCAGAACTCAGGACAAATAATTTAGTGTTCCAGAAAAAGACAGGCTCCCAAGGGCAAACACACCAACCCAGCTGAAGCTCTGTCCTCTGTAATGTCCAGCCTCTGTCACCTGCCCAAGGTCCCACTCTTCTTGTCCTCTTCCTGCCATTTGCCTTCCTTGCAGCAGTGTCTCAGCCTGGGCCCAGCGGCTGGAGTCCCTTGGCCATGCTTCCAACTTTAAATGCGGCATTGAAGGCCACACTAGTTTCTGCATTGGCCAAGAGGCTCTCCTCATTCTCCTCCTTGGCTCATTCTCTGGCTCCCATGGCAGCTGCTACCAGCTGTTACTAGGGAACTTATCAGCAGGCCACTTTAAATATGGAAGTGAATTAGAGTAAGTGCCAACAGACTTGGCGACACATTCATACTCTGCTTGACTCCAAAAGGCAATCTTGCCTTGCTACAAGCAGAGATAGATGGTAGATCTTATTTAAAAATCTATCAATAGGGGCTGGGGATGTAGCTCGGCAGCACAGTATCTGCCTGGCAAACATGAGGTCATGAGTGTGATTCCTGGCACAAAAAAAAAAATCTGTTAACAGTTTCAGGGATGGTAGTGCACACACCTATAATCCCAGCACTCGAGAGGCGGAAGCAGAAGGATTAACATGAGTTTAAGGCCACCCTGGGCTACATAGTGAGTTCAAGGTCAGCCTGAGCAACATAGCAAGACCCTGTCTCAAAACAAAACAAAACCAAAACCAAAAAACCCTAATGTATGAATAGGGCAAGTGATATGGGCTAAGGCCTATTCCAATACCATTCTGATGATCCCACAAGCCCCCTTAGTCAAACCAAAGTAACAGATCGTGGGGTCATCTCTGTCCCAGTATGATGTTGCCAAACTTTGTCAGCCTCTCTGGGTCTGGATTTCTTTCACTTCTAAATTGAGAAGATTGGAAAAAAAGGGTTGATCTTTTAAGATGCCATTCAGCTCAAACAATGAATGGCTCTCATCGCTCTCTGAGCAGTGTCATTTCCTTGTCTGGGACACTGCCCTGAAGTTTAGATACTAAATGGAATTTTCCTTGACTCTCTTGTTTTCCAAATTTTCTAAAGTACATAGTATTCATACTATGGGAGGAGGGGAGGTGGCGGGGCGGGGGCGCGCACTGCATTAATCCAAAAATTAAAGAGGCTCTTGACTGTGTGCCTCTCTTCCCTCAAAACACGGAGACTGGAACTTTGGCTGTTAGCCCTCTGGGGAAGGGATGAGGAAGGAGTGTGGGGCAGGGAGGAGCTGGCCTTTGAAGGCCCCTGACAAGGTCACTAGAGCCTGGTCCCGATTTCACTCCCACGCCCTGCCTGGCCACAGCTGGCTGTGCCCAGCTGTTACTTCGGTAGTGCATAGTGGACTCTGGACTGTAGGAACCCTATGGTGATACGGCCTATGGGGAGCAAGGGTGAGGCTGGGCGGGGGCAGCCCAAAGCCACCATCCTCCTGAAAGCCACAAGAGGCAGGCTTTGTGCCTGAGGAGGGGTTGGGGGCTTAGGGAAATGGATGTGACTCTGGGTCCTCTTACTTGAGAACTGGAAGCTTCTTGGGGATTCTTCCCTGAGACCACACACACACACACACCCACACCCTTCCAATGACTGCTTTGCACAAACTCAGGAACTGGCTGGATTGTGTCACAGCTGTGGGTCTCGGTCAGCTCCTGAGTACTAAGGGACTTGTATAAGCTGAGAAAGCAACTTGGTTTTATATTTGGGAAACAAAACAGAGCTCGGTAGGAAGCAAAGGGTTCTGAGTGTCTGGGCCTGCAATGACGTTGCAACTTTTCCCACATTTCATCCTGAGATGATGGAGCTGTCTCGGCAACCAGGGGAACACAGGTGGGGCTGCAGTGTCGTGCAGTGGTGTGACAGCATGGGCAAGGTCCCAGGTTCAACTCCCGGCACCAAGAAAGAAAAACAAAGTGTGTGTGTGTGGGGGGAGGGAGGTAGCTTTTAAAAGATTAAATGAAAATCACAACCATTACAGAGATACTTCCTGACAGGAACATTTTATATTTCTGCCTTCACTCTGTAAGTGGTGAGGGAACAAAATGTGTGGCACACACAGCGCACGGGGGTGTGAACTCCGGGCCCCAGGGAAGGCAGCAGTAAGTTAGTGGAAGAAAATGAGGCTGCGGTTGAGCAGGGTGGATTTAAATCCGGGCTCCATCCTTTCCAGCTGTGAGCCTAGTGAATTAATTCACCTCCATTCTGAGACATCCCCTCAGATGAAGATGGCAGCTGTCCCGGGCTCGGCAAGAGCCAAGGGCAACTTCCCTGAATGGTGCCTGCGATGTACAGGTGCTCGGAACATGCAAGCGCCCTCTTTCGGCAGCTGTACTTGCTCTGGCCCCAAGAGGCAACATGTGAAGTCAGCAGGGGAAATGGACACTTGAAACTCTGCTTCCTTGTGGGGGAGCCCCAGACTTGCAGCCCAGGAAGTTCTCATCAGGCTGGACCCAGACCCAGAGGCTGGCCCCATTTACCTACCAACACCAATACCAATTTCCCACCCTAAAAAAGACCACCGGCCGAAGTTCAGCAGCCCTAAGAGGCCTCCCTCCACAGACAACAGTCATTCAGGTTTTATTTATGACAACTTCTTAGAACACACACATTCAATCTAGGAACAGAAATGTACAGCAAGAGGCTTAAATAACTTTCATACACTATGTACAGTCATCATCAGGGGTACAAAACTTATATACACCTTGTGCTAGCCATATCTCAGAGGGGCACACGAGCCTGGGCAAGGGGCGATGGCTAGAAAAGAGCTGGTGGACAGGCAGGGCCTCGCTCCTCAGGGGTCTTCTGACCATCTACATCAAGTAGTTCCTACTCCCTACTTCTTGGCCAGGGCCTTGGGACATACAGTTGAAGTACTAAACTGGGGTGCACGAGGGCTTGCGGGTTATCTGAGTGCGGAGGTAGAGGGTGGGCATAGGGGACACAGCACAGATGCCAAAGAAACAACTTTCCCCGCAGAGTCTACTCTGCAAGAAATGAAGATCTGGGAGCCAGGCTCAGTGAGGGGCACTGGCCATCAACCAGGAAGAGGCTGTGCCCAACAAAGCAAGCAGCGAGCAATTTCCTGTTTGAGATGGCAAAGGGACAATGCCACAAGCTTGGGCTTCACAGTGGAAAGGAATTCACTGCTCCTGCTAGGCAGGCCCTGCCCACAAACACACCAGGCCTGGGCATGGTCTGAGCAGCTCAGGGGTGTGCCTGTGCCCAGCCCAGATTCCAATTGGGGTGGACCACAAGAGTTGGGAGAAGAGTTGGGCAGGGCTAAGGGACATCATGTCCCCTGACTTCACAGCAGCCGCCTGCCCGTCATTAGGTGGTGAGTGAAGACTATCTCTTCACCACGGGGGTTTTGTGCTTTAAACTGCCTTGTGGCCAAGCCACACAGCCCGACTCAGGCAGCAGGGCTGGACAAGAGAGGGAAAGAGTTTCCAAAGCTTCAGCTGGGTGAGCAAGCCACAGCTGTCCCCAAGCAGCTAGTGGTGGCACCCTGACCAGCACAAGGCTTGACTGTGTACCCTGTGCTCTTTCCTCCCCTCCCTCCTTAGAAACCTCCTGTGGCTCCAGGTGCAGCCTCGGGAGATTCTGCCTGTCCTTGAGGAGCCAAGTGCCTCGGTTAAAAGCAAACACTGACCTGGCTAATACTGAGAATGAGGCCTTGGTGTAGGACTGTGCTGAAAAGCTGAAGGGCTGTGGAAGTCAGCTAGCTTCAAAAACAGGGACGGGACCTGGCTCAGGAGACAGTCTAAGTCCATACTCTGCAGGTTCAGCAGGGCTGGCATCAGCCTGCACTCAGGCATTGAAAGACTAGGGAGTACGGGCTAGAGTGTGTCCTGCTCCCGGGGGCCATAGCACACGGATATGACCTGGACCTCAAGTCTCAGGATGGGGACACAATGTAACATGAAAAGCCCCAGAATTAGGCCCAGCCTTGTTCTGAGCAAGGACAGCTATCTATCCCTATATGCATCCTTACCTAACTTGGGTCCTGGCCAACCTTTGAGGAGCCTCCTGGCTCCCAATTTGGCCACAGTGCCTGCTGAGAGCCCTGCCACTGTGCTCAGATCATAACTGGTTTGTGCTTCCAACAATCAGGGTGCCTGTGCAAGAGGTGGAGCTGTGCCCCTTCCTAAGTACCTTGGATGTTCCCAAAAGCATGGGCAGAGATCCCAGTGTTTGTGCAGCACAGCTTAGAGCAGCTCAGGGGTGATCGGCTCAGGGATCCCGAAGGACTTCAAGTTTAGAGTCAATGATACTTGCCGGGACAGGGGAGCCAGCCCTGCCGTGAGGTAGTGACCCATCAGAGACACAGACAGCGATGAGCACCTCTCGCAGCCATAAGACCACACTTTGTGCAAGAACAGGCCTTGAAGCTACAGTATAGTTACCCCAGGCTGGGACACCCCCAGCCCATGGGGGCGGGCAGGTGGACACAAGTCTCACGTGTTTCTGTAGTTTGTAAACAGTCATGCAGACGGGGTCATTCTTACAGGGTACAAAGTCAAAGCTTTCCACTCAGGTAAGGAGGGCTGGATGGGGCAGGATAGGAGACTGGTGGTCATTTCTGAGCACAAAGGGAGTTGCCCAGCAAACCTGGAGCAGCCAGAGGAAGAAGGATTTGCAGTCAGAGCAGACAGACCACTCTGGTTCCAGAAGACCAGCATTTGAGGCAAGTTGTCCCACGTTGGCTCACCAGACCTAATGTCACACCTGGCAGGGGCCACACACAGGCAATACAGCCTCTTCAGCCTCTAGGGTAGTGCCAAGGAGGGAGCAGCCCCTCACAGCCTTCACTGGGCCTGATCCTTCCATGCCAGTGCAGGCTCCAAGGCCCTGGCCACACAAAAAAGGAGCCGAGAACAGAGACGACGCCACTGCTGGGAAATTCGAAAGTCAACATGTCCTCTGAACAAGGCAGGGATTCCTAGCTCTCAGACTGAGGCCGAGAAGCACAAGACCAGTGTGGACACGCTTGGGGGAAAATCTGGGATGAGGGATGGAGCCCGCCCCTCCCGACCCACTGCTGTAAATCCAGCATAGTTCCAACAAGGGACGCCCGAACACCGATTCAGCCCCATGCCTGGAGCTGTGAGGGCACAGTCCCAGGGGAAAAGGAAGCTCCAAGAACCAACAACTGCCTCCTCACCAATCTAAAAGGATGAGCCATGCACTATGCTGGGTTTAAGGCTTAAAAATGTGTCTCCTGAATAGGCCCAGGAAGAAAGCTGACTAGACTCCCTGTCTCAGCGGACGATGAAAACAAGCGCCTTCCCACCTGTGGCAGGAGCTTCCTACCAGACAATCCACTAAGCTGCTTCCTACATGACCATGACCGCATGAGACTCTGGGGGGTGGGGCTCCTGGTCCCGGGCTGCCGGGGGAGCATGCCCTTCTCCCAGGGGTAGAGGGCAAGAGATCTGTGAGAAGATACAGGTGGTACCGAGGGCATGGCTGGTGTAAGGCTGCCCAGCAAGGGGCCAGGCCTGGGCCGAGGAAGGCACTGAAGCATCAGGCAGCCTAGTTGCCAGGGGCACACTAGAAGGGTCCCCAGTCGGGGGCACATTTGGGGCTAGGCTGGAGCTGGAAAGAGTAGAAGCAGGTATTTCCCTCCTCTACAGAGCGCCATGGGAGCAGACCCCCTAAGAGCTGAGGGACAGACGGTGTGGGAAGAAACTTCAAGTCAGTTTCCAGGAGGCAATAGGAAAAAATAATAATAATAAATAACTGAAGAATTCCCGACCATCTCCTGAAAGGGGTCATTCCATAGCTCTTCCATGGCCCTAGTGGAAAGAGCCACCAAGGAAAGGCTGGGGCCTACTGCTGTCAGCTGTTGGTGGACACAGGGTTCAGGCTCAGTTGCAAGCTGATCCATACCTGGTCTCCATGGTTACCTGAGGACTACCTTGTTGGGTCAGAGGCAGGGCAGTGGCTCCAGAAATTGGGCTGTGGGCTTTGGGGGAGGCCAGCTCATCAGAGGGGCACCATGGGGCTGGGGCTACTTTACCTTCCTATGGGGCCTTGCCCTGGGACGACAGTGGGGAAGACAGGGCAAGGCCGGCTCAGCAAGAAATACCATGGCTGGCTGGAGGGGAGGCCAGGGAGTGGCTGGGGAGAGAAAAGAGGGGCCAATGCCTTTGGCTTCACAGCTTAACTCCTCCCCAACCTCTCTCTCACCAAGAGGCTCCCAAGAGGCAGTGGAAGAATAGAGGGAACAGGACACTGTGGCAAGTCCAAGGAGCGGGAGAGGGCCACACCCTCTGTCCCTGTGCAGCTCCCCATCTGGTTGGCCACAGCTCCTTTCCGCACTGTATGGGTGCTGGGGCAGAGGGTCCAGGCACCCCTCTGACCTAACTCCGAGGATGGGCCTCCGGTAACCGCCGTATGCTCCAAAACTTCACCGTCAGGTCACTGGCAGGAAGGACAGAAAAGTAGCTGGTCAGCTCTCAAAGTGGGCCCAGCTGGCTGCCCCTAAAAGTCACAGATGGGCTGAGTACCCCCCTTCCCACCTGTGGCGGGGACAGAGAGGCAGGCACTACATAGGGAGGGTGGACCGTTGGGGTAGAAGCGTGCTGGGCAAGGGGCACCCAGTGGGGTCCTTCTGGGCTTTCCTTTTGCTGTTTTTATTTTATCTAGGCCTGAATGCTCCCCTCCCTCTGCTTCCTGCTACTGGCACCCCGCTTCTGGGCCATGGCCCGCTGTCCATGCTTGGAAGAGGGGTGGGTAGGACAACCTCTCTGGGCTAGGCAGGATGTGAAGGGAGAGGAGGAAGAAAGAGTAAAATAATCTCATACCGTCAAGAAGCAGCTCAGATCGAAGTGGGGATAGACAGGGAAAAGGAAAGAAGGGAAGAAAGAGAGAGATGGGGGACGATGGGGGGGGGGTCAGGGCATGGTGATGGCGCGGCCCTTTATGGCCAGGACCCGGCGAGGAAGGCAGGGGGTGAGTCCAGGGACGTAATTCCACAACTTTACCCGGCAGTCACTGTTGGGGGAGAGAGGCGGAAGCAGAGAGGAGAGGAGGAGGACAAGGGATGGGGGGGGGAGGGACAGGAAGGACATGGTCGGAACAAGAAGGGAAAAGAAGAGACCATCTGAGTAGCACCCTGGGACTGGGGCCTGGGCACTGCCTGCACAGGGGACAGATTCGGGGCTCAGGAGCTGTGGTCTGTGGGAGGCAGGGCTGCTCTGGGATCTGAGAGCTACCTGGATAGGGTGAGGACCGTAGACTCAAGACAGTGGGTGAGTCTTTGCCTGGAGCCCAACAGCTCCCTACTCCCGTCTGCCTCAGTGCCCAGCACACTGGCCAGGCACAAAGAGGAGGGCACCACAGGTCTGCGTCCTGAGCCTCCCAGCTGTCCTTCCCACCCTAGGGAAAGGGCTGGAGCAGAGACAGCCCCTCCGTGCAGCACCCACCTGGAGGCTGTGAAGATGTGCTTGGAGTTGGTACAAATGGCATTGATGGGGCTGTCGTGGCCCTTGATCTCCCCAATGGGTGTGAAGTTGTCCACGTTCCAGACTTTGATAACACCCGCGCGGCAGGCACTCAGTAACATGGGGCGGCCGGGGACGAAGGCCAGGGCACACACCCAGTCCTTGTGCGCATTGGGGATTTGCTGCAGTAAGGAGGATCGGGGCTGGTAAGGGCTGGTAAGGGCTGGTGAATGTGAACTAGAGGGAGGGACCAGTCCTGGGGCTCCAGGAACTCATGCTTGCTGGTAGTGAGGGCTGTTGCTGGGCTCCCCTGGCCTTTCCACAGACCACAGACAGGCCTCCCTTGTGAGTTAGGAGGCAATCTGTGTGACTCTGGGCCAGGGGCTCCAGGGGTCCAGAGACAAGGCCTTTGCTCCTGGGCCCCAAGTTGAAATCTTAAGATTCTGCTCTGGTGGAGAAGCCTTCAGCCCTCATATGGATCAGGATACTCTTGGGAAAAGCCACCTGTGGCCTTCATTTCCAAACCCAAAGCCTAAGGGCTAAGCCTTTGCTGAGAACAGGTGTCTACGGGGACTTATAGAAGCAGGGGAGGCTTCAGGGGAAGAGGCACCCCTCCCCTCCCTCTACCCTACCTGGATGAGCTCCTGCTGCTCCAGGTCCCACTTTTTGATGCCATTGTCCCGGGAGCCACTGAACAGGATGTCTCCTTGGATGGCCAGGCACTCGATGCCGTCGTAGTGCGGGGGCTCAAAGTTGTGGGTGGGGCCGATGGTGCCTGTCACACACTCCCCCAGCTGGAACATCTGTGGGGGCGGGGATAGAGGAGGGGAAAGAGGCCAGGCCTTTGCGCTGCTGTACAAATATTCACCATGGTTCTTCCACCCAATTCCCTTGCACAGCTTCCTTCTAGTCTCTAACCAGTTTCTGCCTGCACCACCAGGCAGCAAACCAAATTAGTGCTGTTTGTATAGTTTGCCCTGCTCTTCCTATTTATGTCTCTTTTTTGGGGTGTGTGTATGGGGGAGGCCTGGGGATTGAACTCAGGACCTTCCCGCTGAGCCAAATCCTCAGCTCTTCATTTATTTTGTATTTTGAGACTGGGCCTCATTAATTCACTGAATTTCCCAGGTTAGGTTCAAATTTGTGATCTTCTTGCCTCAGCTTTCCAGAAGTGCTAGGATTACAGCTATGTGTCAGTTACCTATTTATCCAGCTACCTATTTATCATTTTTATTTTGTTATTTGAGACAGGGTCTTACTAGTAGTCTAGTCTGGCCTTGAACTCATTATATAGCCCAGGTTAGCCTCAAACTCAGAGCGATCCTCCTGCCTCAACCTCCCAAGTGGTGGGATTACAGGCGTAAACCACTGTGCCTGGTACTATTTATCATTTTAATAGTTGACCTTCATCCTGTTCAGATTTTCCATCCACCCACAGATATTTTTCTCCATTTATAAAACAGTGCCGCATTCTGTAGCTCTGCATGCACTTCCTGCCTTCATCAGTGCTTTCTTCAGCATAAACTCCTGAAGTCTAGTTATTTCCATGAATTATCCCAAGGCAACAGAAGATAAAGATGGAAGAGACTGGAAGAAATGACCTGCAGCCAGGCCTCAGGGCAGAGAGGCCTCAGGTACCTTAACGTAGTGGTCCTTGGAACCAGTCACCACAAGGTCATGCTGGTTGGCAGTCTGGGTGACTGTCAGGCACATCACAGGGCCAATGTGACCAGTCAGCTTGCCAATGGGCTGGAACCTGCAGCGGGGAGAAGGCCAACTAGGGCTGGTGGGTTCTGGGGACCCTAGGTGAAGGAGACATATGTCCCGGAACAAACAGACCTGGCCAGAGTACCCCACTCCCCCAAAGCAAGATCAAGAACCTAGACTTAAGCTTACCAGAATCCCAGAGGTCTCAGAGGGACAGCTCAGCTGCCTGGAGGTCAGATGGTAGCTGAAGGCCCGCCCACCCTGGGGTGGGTTATCCCACTCTGAGATGTGGGACTGATTCAGGACTGACCTGTTGAGCTCCCAGATGCGGACAGCATTGCCGGCGGCAACGTACAGCATGGTGCCCGAGGGGCTGAGGGCGATCTGGTTGATCTGGTGCTCCCCCTGGGCACTGGTGATGGCCCGCGTGGAGGTGGCAGCACAGGCATCACCTGAAATGACCTGGCCCGAAGACCTGCCCAGGGGAAGAGGGAAGCTAGCGGTCAAAACTGTCCCATCCTGTGGGCCAGGATACTCATCACACCTCACTCAGGCCAGCTCATGTGACCCACTTTTTTCCAGGAAGCCTTCCTTGCTGCTCCACTCCCAGTAAGATGCACCCCATGTGCCCTGCAGGGGTGCCTGCGCAGGCATAGCCAGACTGTAAGATCAGGGCAGGAGCCTGCATCATGTGAAATCACTTAACCTCTCTCTTCTCAGATATGAAAAGAGGCAATAACATCCACTGTTTCCTGTTTTCCTAAGGTTTTTTTTAAAGAGCAGTTTTAGCTTTACAGAAACACTGAGTGGCACATACAGGCATTTTCTGGGTACCTCCTTCCCCCAACACACACGGCCTCATGCGTTACTGACACACACACCATAGTGGTGCCTTTGTCACGACCGACAAACCTAATGGACACACTTTACATTCAAGTCCATGATTTATGCTGGGGCTCACTGTTGGTGTTGTACATTCTCTGCATTCAGACAAATGTACAATGACAGTATCTTCCATTATAGCATCGTACAGCATAAAATACTACACTAGAAATTCCTGTTTACTTCTTAAGGATCAAATTAAATATCAGACTATGGTATTTCAAGTCCATGGGAAGACAAAACACGACTTCTGTAGAGGGCCTCACTAATCCCGCTTCCCAGCACCTCTTTCAGAGTCCTGGGGTCATAGCCTGCACATCTTAAAGAACAGGAGCTGGCCAGCTGGGATGAAGGTGGGGGTCAGGCAGACCCCAGGCTCACTAGTCTGCTGTCCCAGATGCTGTTCTCAACCAAGGGATTTCAAACCCATGGCCAGGCTGGGCTCTGCTTAGAGGATCACTTGGGCTGAGAAACACTGCCCCAAGCAGCCTGCCACAGTCCAGCGGTGGGACAGGCCAAGAGAATGGGCACTTACATGAGTGTCCGAATGCACTTGGCTGAGTCCCGAATGTCCCACACCTTGATGTAGGAGGTGGACACGGAGAACACGAGTCCTGAGTGGCTGCAGTACTTGATGGAGACCACATTGTTGGGGTGGCCTTTGAGAGCTGCGATCTCCTGCCCAGTCACCAAGTTCCACATCTTGCAGCTGCGGTCTATGGGAGATGAGGAGGGAAGGGATGTCAGCCTTCGGGGACAAACAGTGCACCCTCCAGGGCTCCCAGGGTGAGCAGGGCGTGACAGAGAGACCTAGGGGTGGAGGTTCAAGTTGGAGAGAGAGAAAACCGCATACAGGAGTACTCATAACACACTCGGGGCAAAGATTAAGTTGGTGGAGAGCCCTAGATCAGGGTGAGTTATATGAGCACTGTCAAGGTGACTTGAGCTAAAATAAAATTTCTCAGTTTTTGGTGCCTGTTCCTACAAATGCTAATACTGACAACCCAATGAGCAGATCTTATGGGAAACCTTCGGGTCAATCAGTTACAGCTTGACTGACAGCTACCTCTCCTTCTGAGCTATACAAATGCTTATGTTTCTATTACCTGTGTCTGCTACAGACTTGTTCTTTTCTGGTAGTTAAATTTCTATTTCTTCTTTTCTTTCTTTCTTTTTTTTTAGAGGGGGATATTGCAGATCAAACGCAGGTAATGAAATATCACTGAGCTATAGTGATATCACTGAGCTACATTCATAGCACACCCCCACCTTTATTTTTAATTTTGAGTCTTACTAAATTGATCAGAACTTGAATTTACAGTCCTCCTGCATCAGTCTTCCTCAGTGTTGGGATTCTGCTGGTCACACTTTTGCCCGCACTGTTGTGACAGCAGAAGTCTCTGCGGACTGTGCTGTCAACCTGCTTGGCTAAAGGTGCCAGGTGATGTGGGTGCTGGGTGAGGTCACTGGGGCAGTGGTGTTGGGAGACTGAGATGAGCAAAGGCAGGATGGGTCCCTGAGCAGTTTCTAGGGAGGTCTGGCAGTGCTGGGTGCAGCTGCAGGGGTCAGGTCTGAGGAAGGCAGGCCAGGCTGCGTGTGACAGGAGTCCTGAACTGAGTCAGGAGCTAAGGGCGCAGCAAGTTGACCCCCTGTACCACGCCTCCTGGGGCTCTTTGTTCTGTCTTCCATCACAGCCCACTCTGGCAAGGGATGTCTGGGTGGGTGGGAGACCTGACACCTACCAGGCCTCTTGGGGCACCACGCACCTTTGGATCCTGTGAAAAGCAACTCGTCTGTGGCATCCAGGCAGAGGATGGGCTTGGTGTGGCCCTCGGCCATGGAGACGCACTGCAGTGGGGCTGTTCGAGCACCCTTCACTCCTCCAACCGGGGTAATGATGCCCCTTCCCAGGAGAGAGGGAGAGAGTACACCCGTCAGCAAGGGATGCAACAGCCAGGCTTGCGGAGGAACGTGGGAGAAGGTCGGGCCAAAAGGGATGAGGGCCTCAAGACGGAGACTCCAGGACCTCTGGCTGAAGTCTGCTGAGGCCTAAGAGTGGGAAATGCTGTACAGGGTGAGGACAGTCTGCCTTTTTGTCATTGCTGTACTAGTGATAAAACCCAAGGTCTTTACACTGAGCTATATCCCCAGCCCTTTTTTTATAGTGAGACGAAGTCTTTTAAGTCATTTAAATTGCTCAGGCTGAGCTGAAATCTGGGATCTTGTTGCCTCAGCCTCCCAGAGTACTGGGTTACAGGTGTGTGCCAGGCTGGGAGCCTGTGTTTACAGAAATCTGTAGTCACTACCTTAAACACTTATGGGGAATAAGCCCCATGTGAGCACAGCTGGAAGAAGCAGCATGGGCCCTGCACACAAAGAGGTCTCGTCTGATGCCACTTGATCCCACCTGATCCAGAAACCTGAGACATAAATGCACCCAGGCCCAGTGGGCAGGGCATAGGCCCAGGGGCCAGAGTCAGGCCCTGCAGTGCATATCAGAATCTTCCTGCTGTTTCTGTCAGCCAGTATGAGGAGTAGGAGCAGACACACTCAGACCAACACCTCACAGACAGCCTGACCACTGTCCCTCCATCTCCTCAGGGCTCCCTCTGGGGCCTGTGGCTCCCAAAGGCGAGATGCACGCGCGCACACACACACACACACACACACACACACACACACGTACACACCCCTCCCACAGGCTCCTGTGCCGTCAGACCCACACCTGCCATTTACAAAGGAACGAACCCCTTGGGCCCCAGCTCAGCCTGGGTTAGGAGGTTGGGGGCCTCTCTGGAATGAGGCTCTCCAGACCCAGAATGATACCTCCTTCTTCCCAGCTCTGTGAGGGGAATGGGGACAAGCCAAGTGAGGGCACACAATTTGTGACTCCTGTTTCCTGAAGACCCCTAGGATAATTTTTTAAATTCTTCCTCAGCAAAGGTCTTTTGGAGTGAGAGCCTGTCTGAAGACAGTGACACTATGACTGAAGAGTTAGAAATGACCAGTGTCCCCCTACAGCACTTTCACAAAGGCCCTGAGGACTTGCCCAGGGGAACTGCTGGCAGCCAGGTATATGCATAAAAAGCTCCCCAAGCTGCCCTGCTCCCCACTGGTTAGGGCCATCAGCCTGAGACTCCTATGAGGATGTGTGGAAAAGACAGCACTCGCTCTGATGCGCAAGGCTAGCCCGTGATGGCTAATGTCTCCTGATGGCGGGCTCACTGTAGAGCAGGACTAACAAACACCGCCCCCTGGGCTGGAGCATGGAGCAGAGAGCTCTGGAGGGCTGGTGGTGTGCAGCCCACGGTCAGCCTTCCTGCTCAGGAGCTCGGGACCTGCAGGTCCTGGGCTGTTCCTCTGCTGTGGAATACTGCTGGCTGCAGGGACTGGGCTCTGCTTGTCCCCCAGACTGAGTGGTATGGGAATGCCTGCATATTCCTGTACCAGGAGCTGCTGCCACCCTGCTTGGCCCTCTCAGGGCCTGAAAGGCCCACCTAACTGAGGGGCTCACAAGTGAAGTCATGAAGACCCTTAGCAGTCACCAAACCACCCAACATCTCTTAAAGGAATAGCATCCAGTTGGTACCCATGGCATCTGGGCCCTTTCCCCTGCCCTGGGACACTCAGCATAGCCCAGCCACCCCCAGCTTCCACGCTATGCTCCTCCCTACCCAGGCCAGGGAGGAGAAGAGAACAGAGCCAGCCACAAGCAACTTTGCCCTCACCCCAAACCCCCGACTCCAGCCAGGCCTGGTGCAGCCAGAGGCCAAGTGACCACCTTGGGCAGGAGGAACCATGGGCAGGAAGAAGAGTCAGGAGGGGCGTGGGAGAGAGGAGGTAGGGGGCTGGGAGAGGAAGGGCCGCATGCTGAGGAGAGGTGTACAAGCAGGGAGGGCCGGTGCGGCGGGAGGCACAGAAAGAGAGAAGAGAGAGAAGACCAAACGAGAGACATTCTGTGTGTACCTCAGGACCTCCGACAAAGAGGAGTCGCTGTCATCAGACCTGGGGAGGGCAGAAAATTAGCTGGATTAGGGGAGAGAGGAAAACACACAGGGGTAGCAGAGGTGGCGAGGTGGCAGCAGCAGCGGCAGGGAGGTCAGAGGGCGGTTATTCTCACGAGGAACTGAGTGGAGAGAGGTAGAGGGAGGAGGGCCTTCGGGGGAGAGCAGGGAAGGAGAGGGGACAGGCTGACCAGGGAGCTGGGAGACTCTCCCAGGAGTGAGCCACCAGGGGTCCCTCAGCTAGCAGGTAGGGAATAAGAAGGGTCACAGAAGATAGGGGAAGCCAGACCTACACTTGGGGACATGGTTCTGGGGCTCCCTATTGGTTCCAACCTCTCTGGCTGCCCCACCCCGGCAGTGCTGGTACCTGCCTGAGGCCGAGAGAAGCCATGGCTGCTTGTACCCTTCCCTAGGAGCTGGCTTCTTCCAGGATTTCTTCAGGGCCCATTTTTTTTACAAAGCCCATGGTCCCCAAAGGAGCCTACCGGGACCATGATTAGAAGCCATCTTGTTAACACAGATCTAGGTCACTGGATAGGACCAAGGAGATCACCAGGCTGGGATTGCAATCCTTGCAAAAAAGGGAGCAAGCATCCCCGGCAGCTGTAACAGTAGGGCTGAGAAATACACCGATGGAGGCCTGGGTGTTGTCCACAGCCCCAGCCAGCGCTGGACTGGGTTTGCGGAAAGAGGATGTCCAGGTACTGAGCCTCACCCCAGGCTCAGCATTGGGGGGGGGGGCATTTCTGCAGATAGGTGGGCAGCTGAACACCAGGTACCAGGTAAAGGACAGGTACAATATTATTGTCCCTTGCCACATGGAAGGAGAAAGAAGCTCCAGATGGCCAGGGCTGACCCAGAAGTTTAGGGGAGCACATAAAGGAACACAGGGAGGATGGGGTCCTTCCCCTTCCCCAAGCAGAGTCCCATTGTTCGGGACAGAGAAGGTGGAGGGATTCTGCTCTACTCAGCTACTTTCTAGTTGTAAAGCCCTTGGGCCTCCTCTTTAGGTGATGCAGGGAAGACAATGTTCAAGGCTGATTTACAGTTTAAATGAATCATGAACAGAGGAGCAGATGGTAAAGCAAGGCAAAGGTGCCTTCTGAGTGCAGGGATTGCTGTTAACCGAAATTACAATTAGCAATTACAATTTAGTAACAGAAGCTTTAGGTACAGCTTAAACTGGCTCTGTCTGCTGGAATGCACAAGGAACCCGGGGTGTTAATTAAAGTGTTTGTGGTTGGATAGGGCAGTGGCAGAAGCTGAAGGAGCCTCAGAGAGAGGCAAAGAGTCAGCAGGAGCAGAGGACAGAGGCGGTTCTGGGGAGCCTTCCGGAGTGTCTCCCCACATAGCCATCAGCTCCTGGCTGGCCCTCCCTTGTCTTGGTGGCTTCTTTCCTGCCTTCTCCTCAGGTCCCAGCATGCTTAGAGGCAGGGAAGGCCTACAGTTAGGATAGAGGACACGGAATGTCAAGGCCTCCTGACTCAGCAGGGCTGGGAGCTGCCAGCTACTTCCACACGCCCACAGCACAGCCTGGCCCACCAGCTCTCTTCCCTCTTTGGGGCCCTCCCTGGCCACCCCCCGTCATGCTCTCACTTGTCCAGTGCTGACCCCTGGCTCTGATTACTGGTAAGGCGAGAGAAGACATTGCGGTCATTGCGAGGCCGAGTGGGAGGGGATGAGGGAGGTGTGAATCCCACGTCTGTGGACCTGGTAAGTGAGGACAGAAAACACTGACTGTTAGTGACCACGTGTCTGCCCACAGACCCACATGGGTGATACCCTGACACTTTCTGTCTTGGTCATAAAGCCCACGGGGCCAGCCTGCTACACAGCCATCACAAGCTCAGGTCTTAGATGCTTTTAAAAATCCATCCTCGTATTCATGGAGTATATATTTGGAAATTTATCTACTCACTGAAATTCCCACACCAATACTCCTGGTACTTTTTTTGTATTATTCTTGCACTTGTGTAGAAAAATTTCAGTCACTCTATACATGTTTCTTGCCAAGGTTGTTTCAGTTTTGATTCTGGAAACAAGTGTCCTGTTCATGGACAATTTAGTGCTATACTTATTATTAATATTTTCTGTGCTTTTTGGTGGTGGCTTTGACTTTTAAACTGGTCCCCAAGCACAATGCTGAAGTGCTGCCAGGAGGATGTAACCCAGTAGTACAGTAGTTTCTAGCTTGCACAAGGCCCTGGGTTTGATCCCTAGCACCACATAAGTAAGTTACTAAGTAAATGAATAAATAAAATTGGCTGATAGCACACCTCTATAAATCCAGAACTCTGGAAGACCAGGAGAGGAAGATTGCAAATTTGAGCCTTGCCTGGACAACTCTGTGAAGTCGTGTTTTAAAATAAAAATTAAAAATGGGTGGAGGATGTGGCTCAGTGCTAAGGTTCTCAGTTCAATCAACAGTACTACAAACAAGCAAACAAACAAATACTCCCAGATCCTATTCTTTGAACAGCTGTCATTAGGTTCAGCTGAAACTTCCCTCCTTCTGGAACACCATCATGGGTTCGACCCAAATCTTCAGGCCGCAATTTAAGTATGTTCTCTCGGTTCACAAGAAAAGCAACAGTCTGAAACACCAGGAATACAGATGTCCTTGCAGCTCCTTCCTGCCAGAGCAGTTTTGCAAGGCAATGTCATGGTGTCTGCCCAGGCTGGGAGCTGGAGCAGATCCTGCCCTGCCTCCCACCAGGCCAGACAGCAAGAGGTTAAACTGAGCTCTGCCTCATCAGTTTAGCTGTTGGGGGACTACCAAACCCCTGAAAATTAAGTGCATGACCACAGTCACCCTGCCATGTGTTGAGGCTCTGCAGGGCCTGGTCCATGTATGCCTGATCATGGGAGACTTTGCTGTTCTGCCCTGACCTCTCTGGTTCTTTGATTTTCTCTGCTCCTTTCTACACATGAGGTCTTAAAGGGAGTGCAGGCTCCCAAGGACCCATGGTCATGAAAAGAGGCCAATGAAGCTACTACAAGCCGCCTACACTGAATGCACATTAGCACATAGTTTTTGGTATGTGGCATGGCTTCCTGGATCCAGGTGCCTAGTGGAGACTGTCTTACCTGAGCCCACCCCTGATAGGGAGAGCAACGGACCAAAGGCGAAGCTGAGCGACTCAAGGCCAGCTGGCCCAAACAGAAAGTGTACACAACAAAATAGAGTAGAACCTTACATTCACACAATCATCCAAGAACTACACTGGCAATGACTCTGGAGAAGATTCTGGAACATGTTCTCACCTGATAGGTTGCCCTCGGTCATATGACTTCCTCCGGGTCAGAGGGGATGTCTCTGAGCCTCGAGACTGCCGGGGGCTGGAACAGAAGGGTCCAGTGAGACCCAGACCCTATTTTCTACCTCCCTTCCCCAACTCTGTAGTTCTGCTCCCCTCCTTACAAAGTGCTGCCCCGGGTGGGCAGGCTGACAGTGCGGGAGACCTTGTCACGGTAGTAGGAATCGCGGATGGAGAAGCCCACTCCATCCTCTTTGATTTCGACAAGGGAGGCCAGGGACTTGGTGATGTTCTTGGTAGAGATATCCAATGGGGGTCCCAGGCACTCAGCTGAGACAGCCTTCATTTGGGCAGACAGCTTGGGCTCCCCCTGAGGATACAAGGATGGAAGGAGCAAGTTGCCCAAAGGGGATGGCTTGTATTAGGGAACCAGAGGAGTCCTGAGGAGGGAAATAGTGTAGCTTGGCCTAAGGAAGAGGCACCCATGGAAGGACCCAGCGGACACCACCAGAGACCGTCTTCTGTGCTGAAATTCACAGAAACTAAGCTTGTCTATTGCTCTCAGTTGGAGTTTGCAGAACACAGAATGCCCATCCAGACCTCTTGGCTGGTTACCAGCTAATCAGATCACCCAAAACTCTCAGTCTGCAGTTCTCCTTCTCTTTTAATAACTCATCTAATAACTGATTTCTTGCTGTCAAGTAAATGCCCTTATTGCTGACTCTCATACTGTTGAATCAGCTATCTGCAAGAAAGATAACTAGATAGAGAGAGCTAGGCTTTAACTCGGGGCAAGAAGCAGAGTGTTTGAAAGTGGAGCCTCTGGATATGGTGACGTCCCTAGGAAGCGGAGGCCAGCAGTGGCTTCGTTCTGTTTCAAACAAATGAGTGGAGCAGGTCACACACCTGGGTATCCCTCTCAACTCCAAGTCAGTCTTTTTGGTTCCTCCATCCCAGCTTCAGTAATGTCAGGGCAGGGACGAGGTTGGGATCAGAGCATAGTAAGATGGGGACCAGAGCTGCACAGAGCTTACCTTGAACTTGAAGTCATCATGGCTGGTGGAGCCTTTCATGGTGAATGACTGGGAGAAGCTGAAGAAGAAACAGAACTTAGGATCTTAAGAACCTATCCTCTGGTGTGCTGGTCCCCAACGGCCCCCAAACCCTGGGACCTTATGGTGGCCCAGGTCCTTCAGTGCCTCACTCACCTGCCCTCAGAGAACTCTGAGACTTCCTCGTCAGTGCTGGCATAGCCATTCTCTGAGACGAAGGGAGGAAGGAAAAGAAAAAGGTTTGAGAGACCCCATGGAGTGTGGGGAAGAGGCAATGCCCACCTTCCAACATCTCACCCACTGGGATCAGACCAGCCGCCCGGGGAATTCTGGGGAAGTGACCCTCCCCACCATTCAGGAGCCCTGGGAGGCATGAGCCTTTCTTCACACCTACACGTACCCTGCTGCACATTGTAGATGAGGGCCTGCAGCTCAGGGTGTGCCTCGGCCTTCTCCCTCAGGGCATCTAGGAGCAGGTGGTTCTGGGAGGACCCCGCCATGTCCGTCTGCCTCAGTCGTCCCTCTAGGAGCCGAATCTGGGCCTCCTTCTGGGCTACCTGCAGCCCCTGAGGGCAGGGAACAAGGCCGGAGTCAACCTTCCTGGCTTTGGGGGGAACCCAATTCTCTTTAGCTCTCATATTAGCTCCATGTTATAGAGGTCACCTTAGGGTACACCCTATTATGGACTAATGGGTGTCCCCAAAAAACTTATGTGGAAGTCCTAATCCCTCTGTTACCTCAGAACCTGTTATGTGGAGACAGGGTTTTTAAAAGCTAAAAAGTGTACTGTGAGATCATACTTCTGGGCCCTAACCTAATATGACTGGTGTCCTTAGAAGAGATGAGGACACAGAGACACACAGAGGGAAGACACACAGAGGGACAGCGTAAGAGGAGGCAGCCATCTATGGCCATGGAGAGAAGCATCAGAAAAAAACCACTCCTGCCACCACCTTGACCTTGGGTTTACCAGCATCCAGACAAGAAATCCCTGTTGTTTTGGCTCTTGGTGGCACTTTGCTATGGCGCACTAATAAGTCTCCTGGGACACACAGCAGAGCTGATAGGAGTCAAGGGGGGCAGTCTCAGTAGGTGCATCTGTCCTCAAGACTCAGCCCCAGGAGAAAAAGAAGCACATTCTCCAGCCAGAGACAGAAGAGAGGTGTCCAAGAAACCCCAAAAGACATCTGGTGTTCTGCCATAAACCCTCACAGGCAGACTGGTCCATCTGGCTCCTGCTCCTCTTCCCTGATGTACACACACAGCCCCACCCCCAACAGACACAAGTCCAGCCTTGCTGCAGATGGGCCTGTACCAGACACACAGGGTCACCTCTAATTGAGGCCCTGCTGTGTGCCAAGTGCCATGCTGAGCCCCTTACATGCATCATCCTGTTTGAACCATGCAACCAGCTTGCAAGTTTTGCACTGTCACCTCCCCAGTTTTATAGTTATGGAATCCAGGGCTCAAAGGTTAGCAGCTTGCCCCAGCCTGTGTGTGACGCAGGTGAGGAGGAGCCAGGTCTGTGTGCTCCTCTGTGAGGCACCTACCCTGGGGCCCCCACTCACCTTGTCGATGGACGCCTTGAGGAAGTTGTCCAGCAGGAGGCGAGCTTCTGCCAGAGAGCAGGAGCTGATGACCACTGATGTGTCTGTGGAGTCCAGCTCCTCCTGGGACCAGGAGGCAGGGAACTCTGTCACCAGGGCTGTCACCATGTCCACCCACTGCTCCTACCTCTGTTCAGGCTAGGCCCAGTCCTGCAGGTACCTTGGTCTCCTCCAGCTGCACAATGGTGGCCTGGCAGTCAGTGATGCTATCATTGATGTAGTCAATATTGGCTGCCAGCACCTCCATCTCCTCGGCCAGCTCCTGCAGCCCCTTCTCCTCCTCTGGGCTCTCAGCCTGTAGTCGCTCACGTTTCTTTCGCAGCGCCTCCTGCAGGAGGAACAGCTCCTCCCTTTTCTGGAGGGACAGTGATGGAGGTGAGGCCTCAGGGCGTTGCCTGCCCCTACCCAGAATTTCCACAGGCTGCCAGCTCAAGGTCCCCCAGGGCAGAAGGAGGAGAGAGGAGAGAGAGAGAAGTCGGTGGCAAGCAGGATTGAAGAGAAGGGGAGGCACCTACCTTGATGAGCCGCTCCATGTCAGCCTCCAGGTTGACGATGGTCATCCTCTGCATGACAATATCAATGATCCGCCTCTCCAGTGATTGCCACTTGAGTCTTGCAGCCTTGCTGAAGCTCTGGCTGGCCCCCTTCTTCTGAAACTTCTTTCTGGGAGGCAGAGGCAAAGGTAATTGGGCATGATGTGACTACTCTTAGCCTCTGCAGCCACACTGAACCCCCACCCAGAGCGACAGCCCTGGGGGCCCAACACTTTCTGAGCTTCGCTCTCTCTCCCTGATCCTGCCCACTACATTTCCATCCTCTGCCCACCCAGGCCAGGGCACCACCAGCCCACCTCACCTGACCGGGCGGGTGCCATTGACTGTGTTGGCCGGGTGGTCCCCCATGAAGTGGTTGATTTTGTGATTCCACTGGCGCACAATACTGGAGACGGAGCGGGCCCCCGACTCAGCCTCAGATGAGGTGGTGCTGGCCGACACTTCAGCCCCTGAGTCCTGCATAGGTGGCTTCAGTCCTGAACGCCCTGCCACCCGCTCAGACATGGGCTTGGCCAGGCGCCTCAGTGCAGAAACCTGAGGAAGAGGGAGAGATGGACAGGGCAGAAAAGCCCAGAAAAGCCCAGCTTAGGAGGGGCAGGGAGGGAGAATGGAGTCCACTCTGTGCTGGCCTGGGTTTGGGCTGTAGAAGGAGAATGGAGTCCACTCTGTGCTGGCCTGGGTTTGGGCTGAAGAGGTCACTGATTGAGGTGAGCTAAACACAAAAGATATGGCCACCTCTTACTTTGGAGGAGGTACCCAGGATTGAACTCATGACTTCACGTTTGCCTAATAGGCACTGACACCTAGCTAAACCCCTAGCCCAAAAACTTAAGAGACTTTTTTTTATATCGGGGATCGAACTCATGATTGCATGCTTCAAGGCAGACACTTACGCTGCTGAGCTAAGTCCTCAGCCCCAAGGCCACCTCTTTTTTAAGTGAGCAGGTCAGGCATTTGGGGAGTCTACAGTCTGCCCTCTTGCTCTCTTGCTGAGCAAGGTCCTGACACACTTTGGGCATGACTGTGTTTGCTGAATGATAGAGGGATGAGCCACAGACACAGGCAGTGGGCTCCCCTCTCCCTTCCAGCTCTGGCAGAACTAGGACATGCTGCCCTCACCCCATGTCCAGGGATCTGGGGTCCCTGAAGGAGCACAATGCTTGTGCATGTGCTGCTTGGCAGGTGCCTGCTTGCACGCCACTCCCTAAGAACACTTACCTCCTGGGTTTTCCTCCTCAGGACAATTTCCTGTTGCCGTTTCTGAGACTCAAGGGCCCGGATCTGAAACTGTGGGGAAGAGAGGAGAGCACCATCCACCCTCAGGCACACATACCCTTTCTGCAAGATGGGCACAGGCTACTCAGCTCTGCAGGCAGAAGCCTGGGTTCCCAGGTGGGATGAATCTTGCTACCAAAATGTTGATGAAATGGGACCTAGAGTAAACTCCCTCTGCAGAGGTCACAGTGGAGTCCCTGCAAAGGCAACTGCCTTGGCCTCACCTCCACCATAGTTAGGGATACGGCTAGAGGGCCAGCCTCGCCCTGCTTCTCTCTAGGGCGTGAGCCACATGTCCTGCTCTTCCTACAGGCTGCACTCTGCCCCAAGCACAACTGTTACACTTAGGACAGCAGGAACTGGGGTCCCCCTGGGGTCCAGGGATCCTCTCAGGCTCCTCACCTCTTGTCGCCGCTGTTCCTTCTTGAGCTGAGCAATCTCTCGGTTCCTTTTGGTCTCCACCAGCCGCCTCCGCTGCTGCTCCTCCCGCATCTGCTTCATCAGGGCAACCTGGACCAAGAGGCAGTGGGGTAAGACAGGGCTGGGAAACAGTGGTCCATGTGCGCTAGCAGGTAGCTGGCCAGGGGCAGGAGTCTGCCCAGCAACTCTGGCTCAGGACACTTACCCTCCTTTCCACAGGAGTTGAAGCTACCTGGGCAGCCTGCCTCACAGCCATACTTGTGGTTCAGGAACTCCCACCCTATAGGGCTTAATCTTGGCCATCACCCAAGGCCACCATACAGGCCTGGGTATTCTAGGATAGGTTGAGTTGTTGGAGGCAGGTCATCCATGCTCCTACTGACAGCCGGAGCTGTGAACAGGGCTGAGGTGAAGGTCAGGGCTTTCCAGGGCTAGACTCAGAATGACAGCAATAAAAACTACCATTATTTATTAAGAACTGGCTACATGCCAGCACTGTCCTCATGACTGTCATAGGAGAGAGGCATTATTGTTCCTGTTTAATAAACAAGGAAATGAATCTTATAAAAAATTGCTTACAGTCATAAAACTAGTGACATATGGCCAGACTTGGGGCCCAGGTCATTTTACCTCCCCAATCCTCATCTCTTCCTGCAGCCCCAGGCAGGGAAGACACCAAGACAGTTCACAGCAAGTATAAACTGCCTGGATCCCAGAATGCTCCAAGGTCTGGCCAAGGCACTCAGAGCACCATTAGTGTGGCTAAAAATGACTTAATGTGCTGGGAAGCCACCGTTCTTGCATCCTGCAGTGTCTGCCTCCTGTTTCTGGTGCTCCAAGCACAGAAAGCCAAAGTGTCCAGTCCTACTGGCACTTTTCAAGCACAGGGGGCAGGGAAGTTAAAATAGAGGCTGGCCCTTCCTCTGCCACTGACGTCTGAGACATTATGGGGAATATCATGATCCTGCCTTGCTCGATGGTCAGGAAAGAAAAAGTAACCAGAGAGGCGAGCAGTGGCTGGCAGAGTTGTGTTCTTCCTGGGAGGACAAGCTTGGAAAGGGTGACTCTGCAGAGCAGAGGCAGGTTCACTGCTGCTTGGTATCCAGGGGTCCAGAGTGAATGTTCTTCCAAAGGCCTGGGCCTGGAAAGACGAGTCAGACCCTTGACTAATGGTGGGCTTGTGAACTCTAGCATACGAGCTCCTTGGGTAGGCACTATCTATGTCTCCCTGGCCAAAGGCCCATCTGCCCAATCTGTATGTGTGGCCAAGCTCTGTGGAGGTGATGGTCTCAGGATGGGTGAGGACATAACCAGGCTGAAATGGAACCTGAGCCCAGCTTTGCTCTGCAGCTCTCACGTAGGAGGCAGAGTGCCTTTTCCCTAGGAGAGCCCATGCATGGCTATAGGCCCCACCCAGATCAGTCTGGTGGATCGCTAGGCCCCCTTGCTGGACAGTGTGGGGAAGATCCTCAGACAATGACCTCCACAGCATCTGGTTAGAAACCTTCACTACTGCTCACTCTGTTCCTCCAATGGAAAACCCAGGGCCCTGCTGGGGCACCCCTAGGATGACCCTCGGCTGACTTCCAGCCCTCTGCTCACAAGCACAGTCATGTGGGTGGAGCTGGACACTGGCCGAAGGGCTTCAGCAATCCTGAGACTGACACACTCGTTATATATGGATTCTTCTGACTTCCAAATATATCCTGGGCAGTAGATTATTTTTGCAGGTTTCAGAACCCTGTAAGAATGTTTCTTCAAAATGTTCACCATGGCAAAGGCCAACTGAAGTGAGAGCTGGCCAGGACTAGCTGGAGCCACCCCACAGAAGCAGGAACATCCAGGGAGAAGGAGTGGGGTCAAACACCAGAGAGCAAGCGCGATTCCAGCCGGCCACTGCAGCAGGCACAGGCCATGGGTTGAGTAGGCTACTGCTTCTCCTGTTCCCACTGTGCACCACGAGAGGGCGCTGGGGATCGGCGGGAATCTGTGTTCACAAGTTTAAATGTCAGTGACACCTTACCCACCAGGGGATGCGTGGAAGTGGAAGGGGAAAGTGAGGTGCCTTTTGGCCAGCCCAGACCAAGCTGGTATAAGGCAAGCTCCTCACCTCTTGTCGCCACGGTTGGACCTGTGTCCCAAGCGTGGCCTACCCAGAGGAGGAGACTGGCCGCTGACCATTGGGTGGTCTGCCTCCTCTAAGGGTTGACATCAGTCATCACTGCATCCCCTCTTCCTTGTGTACAAGGTCAGCACCAGCTGACTCAGCGGAGAGGCTGCAGTTATCGAGGGCTCCTAGGATGCAGATCCCTATCCCATCAGCCCAGAGAACTGCTGAACTCCCTTTCCTATGTCTTGACCTCCAAAGCTTGCTGGGGCTACCACTAGTGCTACATTTTGTAGGGATCCAGGACTGGGGAGAGCTGGGGTATACCGGGGGCTGATGGTCAGAACAGAAAGACTTAGGGGGACAGGGCACAGATCTTTAAATCCCGGGCAGAAGCCAAAACATACTCGGACACCAAGGCACAAGATCTGAGCCTTGAACCAGGACCTCCAGGGCTTGCAGGACCTGAGCCTTGAACCAGGACCTCCTGGACCCGGGAGATGAGAATGATCTGAGCCACAGCAAAGCAGAAAAGGCAGGCATTATGCCATGCAGAACGCACAGCAGATTAGGAGGCGGAGGACTGTGTATGTTCCAACACTACCTCCTAGCAGCTAGATTGATTTCACTTTCCTGTACCTAAAATGGGAAAGACAACTGGGTTTCTTTCAAGAGGCCCTCCTAAGGTCTGAATGTGATCAGGCATGTAAGATGACCAGACTAGATCTTGGCCACAGTAATAATGATGTAGTATGATTCCACACAAGAGTAGCACCAAACCAGGCCTCACCTTTGCTTCCTTGTTATGGAGGCCCCTGTGGTGCAGCCTCCTACCACAGGGGGCAGCACTGAGCAGAACGGTCCCCTTCCCTTTGGTTCTGCACCTGGACCCTCCTAAGGGGCAAAGTTGCTGCATTTTGGACAATGCACTCAGCAAAGAGCACAGGGTACATGGCCACGAAAGGACTGAACCAAGCAATGCTTCTTGCTCAGAAGAAAACCCACTTTTGACAGCACTGATTATTTTTGATAAGGAAAACAGATTCTAAGATTCCTGCTCCTCACACCCTCAGGACTACCTTGGCCTTCTTCATCTCAGCCACCTCAGCCTGTAGCTTCTTCAGCTCCCTCTCGTAGCGTGACTGGTTCTTGAGCAGGCGGGCATGCTCCTTCTGTGCAGCCTGTAGCTTCTGCAAGTCCCGGTTCATCTCTCGCAGCTTCTTTTCATAATCGGCCTTGATCTTGTTGGCCTTCTCCTCCGTGTAGCATTCCATGGTACCTGAGGGCAGCAAGGTGGCCATCAGCACGTGTACCTGAGGGTTCCCAAGAAGTGTGGGCTCAGCAGTGAGGGGGACGCAGGCTGGTTGAAGTCTCACTGTGAGCTCAGGTAAGCCAGCATGCTTTGGGCCTGTCTTTTCATTTGAACAATGAGGGGATGGGACGAGCAGATGCCCACGTCCCTTCCTGTTCTGATACTCTAGTGGAACGTGAGGGGATGCTGCATCTTGAGATCTCTTGAGTCCCTAGTCCCCAATTCCCATGAAGGTCCTGCAGCCCACTCATCCTGGCTCAGTTCTGACCTACGATCCAGTGGGAGAGAATGGCTGGGGCCAGTGAAAGGGGAAGAGTTAGCAAGAGAAGACAGAGGGACGTGAGCTGTGGTAGAAGGGATCAGCTGATCCTAGACTCTTGTACCGGAACCACCAACAGACATGACAGATAGAACAGGTACAAACCAACTCCTAAATCCACTCTCACCCTTCATCTCAATTAACATCCTTTCTGTCCAGAAGCTCAGACTCTGAGACATCATTAGCACCTGCATCCTTCATTTCCCCACCCAGGCATCCACAAAACCTTTTAGTTCAACCTGTAACATACTGAGAATTCAACTTCTTGCCCCATCTGTCACAAGCCACCTCTCCTGGGGCCTTTATAATTGTTCCTAAGTGATCACCAGCATTCACTTTAGCTCCCCTAGGCAGCAGCCAGGATGATGTCTCTATAATGTTTTAAAATTTTACACCACATACTCCTTTCAAAATTCTATACCTTCTATGTCTCTCAGAGTATAAGGCAATGTCTTTCCTGTGACTGACACAATCTATGCCATTCTTGGCCCTTGTCATTCCACCAATATGCAAGGGACACACCTAGCCAGGTTCTGGGCATCTTCTGTGCCTCTGCCTAGGATGCTCTTTCTGTGGCCCTAATACTGTCTCACCTGCAAGCTTTTGCTCAAGTCATCTTCTCTATGGAGTCTTCCACAATCATTCCTTTAAAAACCCTAACCAAGTCCCCAGCACTTTGAATCCATCCTTGCTGTAACAAAATACTAGTTACCATCTGATATGCTAGAGGTCCTGAGTTTCTATCTCTCCCCTTTACAGTGCACAACCCACGAGAGCAGGGATTTGCACACACCAAAACTGTCAGAATCTAGATGAACATCTCCTCAGAAGTATTCAACAAATGCTTGATGAATAAGAGGATGAAGGAATTAACAAATGAATAATCAGATGAATAGGCGGGATAGCAGTGTAAAGAGGTAGAATGTAAGAAGGAAGTCAATAAGGATAAACTGGTCTCAGGCAGGGAATTTAGCTCAGTGGCACAAGTGCCTGCCCGGCAAGTGCAAGGTCATGAGTTCGATCCCCAGCACCAAAAAAAATTTTAAAAAAAGATAAACTGGTCTCAAGGAACTGAATGCAGAAGAAAAGGCTGGATGGTACCATGTTCATATACCTAGATATAAAAAGGATTAAAGAATTTGAATATATAAGATGATAGTAAAGTTTAAAAAAAGATGAATTTAAAGTGTAGCAGAGGAACCAGAATCAGACATAAGAACTTTTTAACTGTGAGCCAGAAAGTCCTTTGCACAGAATATCTGGTTCATCTGATAAAATGCTACAATACATTTGAAAAGCAGCCCCAGAAAAGCAAGCTGAGAGCTGGGGCTGGGGGCGGTGTCTAGATATCTTTTCCACTCTGCTGGGCCCAGAGGCCAACATCTGCCTGACTCAGATGACACGAGACCCTACTGCATCCCTGTCAGCTGCTAGGTGTGGTTTGGCAGAGATTGGACGAAAGCAGGGGTCAGGGGCTCACTGAGGTTCTGTAGCACTCGGTCGCGCTCCAGCTGTGTATCACGGATCTTGTTCTGCAGCAGGATCAGCTTCTCCTCATACTGGTGTTTGAGCGTCTGCAGCCGCCGCTGGCTGTTCTCTAGCTCATCAATCAGCTTCTGTTTGATCTCAATCTCACAGGTCAGGTCTGCCAGGTCTGCCTGGAAGTTCACCTCTGTAGGGTCCAGGAAGAGCCAGGTTCAGGCAGGCACCACTCCCAGGGAAGAAGGGATTCTTCTGGCCAACCATGATCAGTGGGTGACCAGAAGTAATCAGAAGTGGGAAACCTCATGCTGGGTAGAACAGTGCCAGGTAGGGCAACACATTTGAAAAGCAAGACAGAGAGGATTTCGGGGCTGGGGATTAAAAAAAAGAAAAGAAAAGAATAGAAAAGCAAGACAGAGAGCTGGGGCTTGGAGGGTGGGTTATCTAGACATCCTTCCCACTTGCTGGGCTCAGAGGCCATACCTCTGGTGACATGGGACCCTGCTTGGTTAGAGGGGAAGAGGTGATTGAGAGCACTTTGCAGAACTATGGACCACAGCTGGCAGAAGGGACACGCAAGCCTACTTAGGGGTTGGGTCTTGGCATCAGCTGGGCCTGTATTCAGTGCCCTGTTTTGCACTGACTAAACTTGGGAGAGTCATCAACCTCTCTGAGCATGTTCAGCATGACCAGGGGAAACCCAGCACCTATGTGTGGGACAGGAGCAAGGACTCAAAGTGGCAAAGCACGGGAAGGGCAGGCATATAAGCACTCAGTAAGGATGTGCCACCGTTGTTACCATCATCATCATTCTTGTTGGTTTTGGCCTAGGAGTTCTGCGCCCTGCACAACTGCTGTGCCTGGGAACTCAAGTGGGCCTAATGCCACCCAAAGGCATCTGAATTTCCTCTGGGCTGAGCTTTGACTGGCAGTCCCACCCTGGTCACCTGCCACAGGTGGTTGCTTTCACCCAGCCCAGGCCCACGCACCCTTCTCCTCCGGGTCAGAGTCGGAGTCTACCAGGCTCTCCTCGCTGCCCGAGTCCTCGTCTTCATCCTCACGCCCTTCCTCCTCCTCGCAGCCACTCTCATCTCGCTCCTCCTCCTCCTGGGTACCAGGAATATGAGGGGTGGGCTTGTCCTCCAAGCAGGGGAACCCAGAGGTGGAGACCAGGCAGATGTGACCTCTGGATATGCCAGGAGGAAGGGACACCATACCCTATGGGAAGAATAGCTGCCCCCCCAGCTCACGGGGTAAGCTGACATCACCCCAGCCTGGCCTGGCCAGTACCCTAAGCAAAGCCCCTGGAGGAGTCTCCTTTCCCCATCGTCTGTTTGGGATGAAGTAGGGACTCGAGCAATGGAGATAACCATAGCAACCAGTCTGGGACTAGGAAACTCAGGGACCAACTGCAGGGAGCCACCTCCACTCAACTGTGCGCAAAGCTGCAACAGGTATTGGGGTGTCCTCACCTCCTCAGCCTCGTTCTCGTCAGTCTCCTCACTGTTTTCCTGTTGGAGTTTTGCCCTCTTTTTGAAAGCTTCCTTCTCTGGGCTGCTGATAGACAGAGAGGCCAGGTTAGGGGACTGACCCTGCCTGGAGCACACAGGCAGGAGGCAGCAGGAGCAGCATAAGTAACGCTCCTGCTGATGGTGCCTGGGCACAGAGCTGGGTTCCTGCTCTATAGAGAACTCAGCTGCTCCTCTCCAGATGCCACCCAAATTAACCTTGGGGATGGCAGCACAGCACTAGAGAAGGTGTACTTCAGAAGGGGTCTGTCTTTTAAAAGGCTGAGCACATTTGCTCCATGATTTTGTAGCTGAAATTGGGGGAGCCCCGGTGGATGGGCCGAGGTTGGGTAGATGATTCTTCCTGAATACAGGGGAGAAGTACTGGGCAGCGGGAGACACCAGAGGCACAGAAGATTCACCTCTTCCTCCGCTGCCTGATCTCCTTCTTCTTTAGCCGCTCTAGGTCCTGCCTGGCCCTGCGGATCACCTCAGACGCGTCCTCCATGGAGCTGGCTGGGCTGCCTCCAAACCCCGGGCCAGCTGGAGATGAACCCAGGGAGTAGGGGCCCCGAGCCGAGGCCCGGGACAGGCTGCGCCGCAGGGACTCATTCATGGCCTCGCTCTCCAGGAGCTTCGTCCTGCATGGGAAGAGCCAGGGTGTGTGGAGGCGGGGTGAGCTGATTTCACCCCAGCCTGGCCTGGCCAAGGGCCCCGAGCTGGCTCACATCTGCTGGGGCTCACATCACCCGGGGCTCACTCACCGAAGCTCCTCAATCTCCCGGATGTAGTTCTGAATCAGAGCGCCAATAGCCTCATTGCCATCACCTGGGGAGGGGAGCCAGAAGGGAGGTGTGGTAAGGAAAACGACTAACAGCAAGACCTTTGGCATGACGACTGGTAGCTTTGTATCTGCCTCTAGCAGGACAGCTGACACAGGCCTTCTAATGGAATTCGTACCAAGGAAATGCTTGAACATGTGCACAGATGTACAAGGGCTGTGTTAGTAACAGGGAGCAACTGGAAGCAATCAAAATGTCCATCCACAGAGAGTTGCTATAATAAATTATTCATCATCACATATGGAATGTTATGTAGTAGTTTAAAAAATTAAGAGGGTTTCAATAGGGAGATTTATAAAACATAATGCAAAAGGAAAAAAAGAGTCACAGAATGATATATATGATCTCATATACAGAAAAAGCCATACAGAGTTACACACATGAATACATGTGGGCATACATTTATATTCAAAACAAATGTGCTGGTAGAGGTGTGAAAAATACGCACCCAGCTGCTCGTGAAGGTTCCTTCTGAGAAGCAGAGAGGATGTGGGTAGTGAGTATTGCAAGAGCATTTTAACCCTTTACTTTATGTCTGACGCACTGCTGGCATGTTTAATGAGGACGTGTTTGTGTAGTATTTGTGTCATAAAAATGCATCATGTAATATTCATGTCATAAGAAGTACAGCAACAAATTGATGTGGGCAGGAAGGGGAAAAGAGGGTGCCCCCATGTGGATGCTCCAATGCCCTCCAACTTACCAGCCTTGGCCAGAAGCAAGTTGGCCTCCTGGCTCATGAGATGAGTGACACGGTTGTTGATGGCATCGATGGCCTCCTGCATGGCCTTCACTCGCAGCCGCAGTGCCCCGTTCTCCTTCTGCAGCATGGCGTTCTCCCGGTACAGGTCACTGTAGCCCTCGGCGCCGTCCTCCCCGATCACCCGCTTGCCCTGGACAGGGCGGGCAGGGAGCAGTCAGGTGCTGAACCTCATAGGGTTCAGTGTCACTCTGCCAGTGTTCTGGCTTTTTCAGGATGTAGAGGCACTGTCAGTCTTCCCAGCCCCCCGCCATCCCTGTCCCATTTCCTAACACACAGCTCCTGTCTCTCAGTGCTCACAAACCTCACATAGCTCCCCTGACAATAAAGTGACCCCACCACCTCAGCTTGCCCACCTCTCTCCGCTCATTTGCCTATCTCCACACAGGCTAACCCAAGGGACAAACCCTGCTGGGCAGGAAGCTAACAGAAATGAGTCCGTTGGGGTGGCAGACAGCAGCCAGTGGGGGAGACTGAAATAAAGTCACAGACTTGGTGTCACAGAGTTAGCCAACTGGTGACTCCAGTAAACGTATGCCATTTGTTAGAGCTTCAGGGTTTCCTGGAAAACCTGAAACTCCAATTTTCAGGATGTTTTTAGAAAGGCTGACAACTAAGTTGCATTGTTTTAAAACAAGTACAAGCCAATCTGAAACCAGTTGTGTGCCAGGTTCCAGCCACAGGCTCTAGTCACAGAGAATTAGACACCTTCCTAAGGTGCATATTCTCCTGTCTTTTCTTTTATGTAAGGCCTGTCCTTTGCCTAGAATATCTGCCCATGTTTATTTATTTATTTATTGGTACTGGGGATCAAACCTGGGGCCTTGCACTAAGCTAGCTATATTCATGGCCTTTCATAAAGAAAAAAAGCAAAGCTGCCCAGGTAGGGCTTAAACTTGTGACTCTCCTGCCCCAGCCTCCCAGAGTGCCGGACTTATAGGCATGCATTGCCAAATCTGTCTCTGTCCACTTGCTTTTAATGCTATCTCATATGTTCAAAAGGTTCCTGCATGAGACCCTTTCTGGTCACTGCATGAGGAGGAACAACTCTCTCTCCTCTGTCACCTTGCAGCACAATGACCATTCCTATGAACTCTACTGTCAACTATGCTGTCGCAGTGGATCAATTTCTTCTGTCCAGTGGATATAAAAACACCTCTGCTCCAGCCATACTGCCATGTAACACAGCCAAGGTGCTCCTCTGCGCCTGACTTAGAATGCATCTAATGGTGCACTCAGACTGCCAGATTCACCTAGAGAGACCCTAGTGTCGGGCAGACATGCCTTGCACACAGAATTGCAAAGGAGTAGCCAGAGGCACACCAAGGAACTCCAGCAAAGATGACAGGGCAGAAACCAAAGGAACACAGGATCCAAGAGATACTGCAGGATGCAGATGGGCAGGCACTCACCGCCTTGTACTCCATCAGCTCCATTTGCAGGCGTGCGATCTCGGCCCGCAGCGCACTGATCTGCTGGCTGGTCTTGTCCTGGTTCACCACTACCTTGTTCTTGATGTTTCGAGCCCGATTGGCATATTTAAGTGTGTTGAGTGTCTCCATGAAGTCCCGATCTGAGGGGCTCACGCAGGCAATCATAATGGTCTGGCTGGAGGTGTAGTCAGGCTGGGGTGAGGGCCAGGAACACAGCCAACCCAGAAGCACTGCCTTGGAGCAGAGGTCCTGCTCCTACCCCATACCCCATGACCTTAGACTCAATAGATCTGGGCATTCAGAAGAGCAGAACTTGGGGCATGAAGTTCTGGACCACCTGGCTGAGAGTTTCCATTGTGAGAGGGTAGCTCCGTGAATGCGCTAGCATGGCAACGATGCCTAACGCAGAACCCTCTGCTTAATGATAAGGACATGCATGGTCTCTGTTTCTACTATTTCCCATCTCTTGTCTCATTTGGGTAGTAGGACTTCCTTTGGGAATAGCTCTCAGCTTTGCAGATAAGGTCGCTGAGTCTGAACATAACTGGCCAAAGGTCATGGAGCATCTCAAGGTGTCTGCAACCCAAGATGGAAGATATCTTCCTCCTCCTTCCTCCTCTTCCTCTTCTTTCTTTGCTTCTCCTCCACAGGACTATCATGTATCTCACCCTCATAGCGGAAATCCCCAGGAACCTCTCTGCCTCCCCTGGGTCTTCCCTGCATGACATCAATTACCTGTTGCCCCCCAGCGAGTCCTGGAGAAGCCGAGTAAGCTTGGAGTCCCTGTAGGGCACATGTACCACCTTCTTGCTCTGGTCTCCCAGGGCGCTGATGACATTGCCCAAGGCCAGCTGCAGGAGACAGACTCAGTAGCTCAACAGTCCCTCAGGGAGGGAGAGAGGGCCGGCACAACACAATCCCCAACCCTATCTAGCTGGCCCCAGTGGTCCTCAGTGGGCAGGTTGGATGAACTGTAAAATTAGGGAGCTGGGGTAAGGGGGAGGGCTGACAGTGAAGGACTAGAGGCCTAAAGGTGATGACTATAGGTTTCCAGGACAGCAGCTGGCAAGAGACCCAAGGAAGCCTGGGCATGCATGGGGTCACAGAGCCTTGGGAGGGTCTGAACCTGAGCTGTTCTGATTGCTGGGACTGTGGATGCTCCGTGTACCTACCAGGCCACAGTTGATGGAAATGCCTTCCTTGGCTCGCTCGCCGGTGGCACCTGTCCGCTTCAAGCGTTCTGAGCCAGCCAGGTCCACAAAGTGAAACTTAGCCGTGAGAGTCTCATACTCGCTTGTAGGAGCTGTGCCCTCTGGAAGCCTGGTCACTGCCTCGTTCACCTGCAGCAGAAGGTGGCATCTGACTTCCCCTGTCGTTGCCCTACCTCACTGGCTCTCTGCTCCTAATTGACCTCCTCATAGAAAAGACACCCATAGGGGCTGGGGATTTAGCTCAGTGGCATAAGCACCTGCCTTGCAAGCAGGCAGTCCTGGGTTCGATCCCTGGTACCAATGAAAAAGAAAAGACAAAAAAAAAAAAAAAAAAAAAAAAAAAGAAAAGACACCCATGCCCTGCATGTACAAGAGCTTCTAATGTGTACACAGTACTTGCAAACACTGGACTCCCATCCCATCTCTGCAATACAACAGTAGAAGTGCCATTATCCCATTACATAGACGAGGTAAATGAAGCTCAAGGAAAAAGAAAAGGAAACATCAACAAGCAACGAGGTGAGCCCTGGCTCTGGTTTGCTGGCTCCTCGCCTTGCCCTCCGTGGGATGCCCCTGGAACATGCAGCTGCTGGACTCCGAGGGCTCCTCACCAGGTCGGGCTGGGCACACAAGCGCATCTGGCACAGGTGGATGGTGAAGATGGCATGGGAGCGGGAGCTCTGTACATTCATCTGGGTGCTGGCCGTGGTGCGAGACAGGGCGCCTTGCTTCAGGCACTGGATCAGCTGGAGACAGAGGCAAGCAGTGAGGACTCTGGACCACTGTGCTGGGAACCTTGGATCTTTCAGGAGACCCTGTACCTGCCCTGGGTTTCCAGAGGACGCTCACCTCTTCCTGGGAGTTGATGAGGCGAGAAGTGACACCTGTGGTGTAGATGCCACCATTGGCATCTTCATGGATCTTGATGTTGGACCTGCGGTGGCGGGTGTCAGTGTCACGAGTGCTATCAAACAGGTCAAGGATCTCCTCATTGTAGAGCTGTGCCAGGAGGAAACAGTGGCTGGGTTTGTGCAGCACACAGTGTAGGGCCCCGAGGGGCTTTGTAGTGTTTATAAACCATCTCCATTTTTCAGAAATAGAAAATGAGACCCAGGAGATTAGCTTGCCCAGCCTGTTCCCCTCTAAGGCTCTGAATTCCAAGGTCCTCCTAATAGACAGGAAAGGAAGATCAGGTGGACCTTAGTCTATATACCATTGCTTCTCTCCCCAGGAACCAGCATCTAGCAGCTTTTAGTCCCAGGTGGGCTTAAGACCTAAAGGGAACAAATGGATGTAGGTCCTATATGCAGAGATGAGGAAGATAGGACCATGATTTGTGCAGATCTCATTATATAACTGGACTGGGAAGAGGATGTGAGCATGTGACTCCAGATAAGAAAGGGCAGTGTAAACCAGGGAGCCACATTCTAATCCTGACTGTTCCTGAGACTGAGGTGAGGACAGTCTCCTATGAGAGGAATGTCAGCTGTGCCCTATGCTTGGGAGAAAAGAGGAACATGGAGAAAGGCCGCTGTGTCTAGACTCCTGGGAAGAACACTGTGCGGAGCTGACCTGGCCAGAAGTGGCCACATTACTTCAGCCTCAGGCACGAAGATTCCTGTGACTGAAACTGAGGACAGGGAAACTGTCACTGCTAAAGCGCTGGGATGGCCAGCAGACAGGGAGCTGGGGCTGGAGAGTGGGCAAAGGGATGGGGACAGATGAGGCAGCCCAGAGAATCTTGTAGGGCAAGAGAGGAGGGGGCCCTTGAACATCAAAGCTTTGATGGCTTTAAAGGGACTGAACTATCCCACAGGAAGTGGAAGAGATGGTAAAGGAAGCGAGACGGTGAAGATGGGGTGCGCAGTATCTCTACGGTGGGTCAGGCATACTTACATCATTTAACCTCTTTTGGTTACCTTTGAAAAGGATTATCAAAAAGTTGCCCTGCTTTTGGAGGTCTCTGTGACAACAGGATGGAAAAGAAAACAAGGAGCTGTAAAGAAAAGCTTCTAGTGATATATAAGGAACAAGATACACACATGCACATGCACTCACGCACACATGCACATGGAGATAAGTAGTTTATCTGAAGCAGAAGTCCAGAAGGACATAGAAAAGCTACAAGAGCCTAAAATACAAGTCCCCTAAGGGGAAGGCAGTGGCCCTGCCTCCTCTTTCTATGGCCCAGCAGGAAGTGACGAGTACAGGGGATGAGGCATGAGGAAGCAAGAACAGGGCTAAGGACACATTCATCCTTCTTTCTAAAAACAGCCAAGGTGCAGTCAGACCAAGGGATGCTTCAGACTTAGAAAATGCCCTAGAGCTGGATCCTTGGGGCTTAGACACTGTGAACTAGTTGCTAACCAAGTGTCCCAGAACAGCAGCCTTGTAAAGCTGTCAGGAGAAAAAGGTTCCAGAAAGCCTTTCAAAAAGGGAGCTGCTACCACTGGTGTTACTGACCTGGGTGGGGCTCAGCACAGCCAGCATCAGAAGCTCAGAGGCCCACTCCTTCACCCCAAAAGCACTTGGCTGCCACAGTTCCAGGATGACATCCTCCCAGAGACAAGTAGGATCAGAGGTAAAAGCAGGTCCCTTCTGGAGGACTTTTCTGTCTTGTGGTCTGAGAACCCTTACAGGCAGGAATCATCTCAGCCCAAAAGGGACAAGCAGGTTGCTCAGAGGCAGAGGCAGAGGCAGGATCCCGTGAAGGCCGGAAGGAAGAGAGAGAACTGGAGCTTTCAGCCCCTGCCAGGCATATGCCCCCCAGCCATCCTCACCAACCCTTACTCAGAGTGGTAAATGACACGCTCAAGATCACAAGTATCAGAGATAGAATCAGTCAGGGCTCAAGGGGTCTGTCTTATAGGGTGTCAACTCCAGCCCCATCTGATACAAGAAACCCTTCAGAGTGTCCCATCAAGTGGTCCTCCACGCCTTGCTTGGATACTTCCAATATTAGGGAATTTGTCACCTGTCAATGTTCCCATAGCTCCCTAGGCTCATTCCCTTGCACTGGATGAGGGTCCAGTGCCTACAGCACCCACCGTGCCTCCGTCTGCCCACCCTACAAACCACAGTACCTCCAAGAACTGAGCGCTGACTTTGAACTCAGGCCCAGCTATGCCCTGCTCCTGTGCCCGCCGTTTGCGCTCAGCGATGCCCCCGAAGAGGTGTGCGATGGCTCTCGGAATGATACCCTGCTCCTCCTCTGATGTCGTCATGTCAAAGCCAGTGCCCATAGTGTACGTTTTCCCAGCCCCTGTCTGCATTGGTAAAGACAGAATGAAGGTGTTACCAGCAGGGCCTGCATCTCGCCAAACCCTCTCACTTATCTTCCTTCAGCCTGGTTCCCCTTCTGCACCCAAGGGAAGTCTCTGACTACAGCTGCCCTGTCACCCAGGAGCGGAGCAACATCTTCAGACAACAGACTAAACTACACAGCTGTCTCGATTGCTCTGGAAGTAGGGCTGTCTCCCACACCAGCGAGGGAAAATCAGCTGACCGACCACTGGTGGGAGCAGAGGGGCTTTACCTGCCCGTAGGCCAACACTGTGGCATTGTAGCCCTCGAAGCAGCCCTCAATGAGCTTGTTCACACACGTTGTATAGATCTGTTCCTGCCACGTGTCCAAGTCGAAGACAAAGTCATAGGTGAAGGCCTTGTCCTTCCCCAGCAGGACCTGAGGCTCCCCTGGGGTGACAGAGGTACAGATGTGACAGCCCTCAATCTTCTCCTTTGACAGTTGGGGCCGGATCCTGCCAAGACAGGAAGAACCCTGGGTCAGGTCCTATTGTGTCATATTACCTGCCACCTTCCACTTCTCTACCAGCTGGAAGAGGAAGGAAGTTAGGAGCCCCCAAACTTTGGTAATTCAGTTATAATAATACGAACATCACCAAAACCCACAGTCGTTAACATTTACAGAGTATTCAGTGTATCCTGACGCTGTGTTGAAAGCATTTTATAGAAACTAACTCTTGTGTGCTTTACTACAAATCCACGCAGTACTTACTGTTTTCCTGACTACAGTTGAGAAGTCTGAGGCTGAGCAAGTTTAAATGACTAGTCCAAGGTTGTATGATGGGAAGTGACAAAGCCCAACCTAGGTCCATGTGACATGAAAACATATACTCCCAGTTAGACCAGGAGCCTAGAAACCAGCATGCCTCTGAGCAAAGGGACAAGATGCTTGCTCACTTCTGGGGAGACAAAGAAAAGGGCCAGTGCGGGGAAACAGTGGGACAGGCCCAGAGGCTCCCCAAATGCTATATCACACGCCTTGAGCCAGGGCTAGGTTCTGTTGTTCCGGTTTATAGTATCTAGATGTCCCATCAAGCCTCATGTGATCACAGGCGGGGCTGTGGGGAAGTGATTGTCTTTTGGGGGGCACTATAGTCATGGGTGGATTAGTCTACCATGAGTTTATAGCTAAATGTGTTGTCAGAAGGTGGCGCCCAGTTGGAAGAGGCAGGTTACTGAGGGCACAGCCTGAGAGGATGACTGTCCCTCCTCAGGTCCTTCCTTCACTTTCTGCTTCCTGCAGCCATGATGTGAGCTACTTTCCTTTGCAGGCCCTTCCTTCGCTCCCCCATTCCTAGATTGGAACAGCTGCCTATATACTGAAACTCTGCACATGGTGAGCCAAAATAAGTCTCTCCTCTTTTAAGCTGTAGATGTCAGCTATTGTGTCTCAGCAACAAAAAAGTGACTAAGACAAAGGGTCCTCAGCCCGGCAGCCCCTTTCCCCAATGCCACAGCCTGGTGGACATTCTCAGGCATAAGCTCTGGTTCTTTCCCAGGAGCTGCAGGCTAGATCAGGTACAACCTTGGCAGCCTAGGTTAAGCCAGAAGATCCCTGTGAATGGCTGGGCCCACAACCCTGATCCTGGCAGGCTCCCCTGTACAGAGGAGGGAAAGTCGTATCAAGACTGAGAAGAGAGCCAGCCATGGGCAGATTGTCTCCATCTAGCCACCTTTCTTCCCTCTCCTAAGCAGCCATTACCATGGCGAGGTACCCATGGCAACCCAGCATGAGTCAGTGAGCATGCGTGTGCAGGCTTTGGCAGAAAGCACCCTCCAAACACCCTAAAGCAAAGGAGCGCTCGTCTGCGATGCCCATAGGCCTTCACAAGCCAGAGCCATTGGCCAGATGCTCACAATGAGTCACTTGTCAGGCTCCCTCTCCCTAAGCCAACATTTACAAGTGGAGAAAAGAATGAGAAGGATCAAGCCACCCAGGGACCAGAGGCACCTAGCCACAGAACCCAGGCCTCCAACCTGTCATCCTGTCCCTATCCTAGGCTGCCTCAGCCTGCAAGCCCACTCAGAGCTGCAATACAGGCCTGGTGCTCTCCTGAGCAATGTACCTGTGCTTTGCTATGAGGGGGCATACTGAGGAGATGGGGAGATCCTTGGCATGAGGTTCTCAGGGTTGGTTCCCACCTAGTACACAGGAGTGAGGAACGTAAGCCCAAGGAGGTCGCCACCTGTTTCCAGAGGGTTCTGCGTTAAGCTAAAAGTAGAATCAGCTTCTCATCCTTTGCCTGACTTGTTTTCTAACCAGGAAGAGAGAAGGTGATTTGGGTATATCCTCTCTGGACCCAGGGACCAGTAACTTCACCCATCCCCCACTTCCACCCCAGCAAGGCTCCTACCTTGACTTCTATCTCTAATCGCAGCAGCAGACATATGCCAGGTTCTTACTATATGCCAAGCAGTGTCTACAGCCCCGACACAAATTAACTTCGTGTGTGTGTGTGTGTGTGTGTGTGTGTGTGTGTGTGTGTGTGTGTTGGGAGGGAATGAGGAATGAGGGTTGAATTCAAGGCCTTGTATTGATGTATTGAGCTACATCCCTAACCCTCTTTTACCTGGGATCGAATTCACGACTGGGCCTTTGCAAGGCACGAGCTTATTATGCCACTGAGTTAAATCCCCAGCCCCGTTTTTGTTTTTTAAGACAGGGTCTTACTAACTTAGTAAGTTGCCTGGGCTGGACTCAAACTTTTAATCTTCCAAAGTGTTGGGATTACAGGTGTGAGCCACCAGACCAGCATGTGTTACTTCTGTGTTATTTCCCCATAACTGATGAGGTTACTACTAGTCATAGACAGTAAGGAGCCAATTTGAGTCCAAACAGTCTGTACACTGCCCTTTCAATGGTCCTACACTACACTGGCTCCAGGGACCAGGTGTCAGAGGGCCAAGAGAAAGTCTCATACTTGAGAAACAGCAGACAGCAAAGGAAAAAGGAGTGTGGCTTGCACATGGCGCTGGCCCTCAGGGCAGGCCTGTGAGCTGGTATGGGGCCAGCAGATACCTCCTCCCAGGCCAATCAGGCACTTCCAGGTAAAACAATGGGCTGCCCCAGGTAGCTCTGAGGACCCCAGAGCTGTGTGGATCTGTAGGAGCTCCTGAGGACACCCTCTTTCCCACGTGTCTGTCTGCAATGGGATTTCTGGATCCAGTTCAAACACCATTTAATTACTGCAGGCAGATGGCAATGCTGGTGATTGGAGGAAATCGAATCAGCATCCCTGGAGACAGAGGGAGCAGGCAAGCGGGAGCAGCAGCCCTGCTGCATGGGCCCTTCTACGAGAGGGGCAGCTTCTCCTTCGGTAAGCAGCCCCCAAACCTGGGGAGCCTGCCTGTCAGGAAGGAGACAGTGGGTAGAACGGCAGTATTGAGAGGAGAATGTAGACGGGTTCCCCAGGGTTTCAGCACCCAAAAGCTGTGGGGATCACCTGGGGATTCACTTTGAGATGCTTGCTTGGCCCAGCATATCCTGATATGGAGCCAGGCCAGTCTAAGTACCAGAGCACTTTGCCAGGGTGCAGGTAAGTGAGCGGCATCTCCTAGAAAAATGGATACAAGCTGGGAGACAGAGAACAAAGCCTGGATGAGTCACTAATTCCCACAGTAAGTGACCTGGAAGGCCAGTGTCAGTTACAGGAACGGAGCAGAAGGAGAAACTGTGAATGTAAGCAAAAGGAAAAGGAAGACTTATTTCAGGGGTGCTTCCTGTGAGCTGGTATGGGGCCAGGCAGCTCCTCAGTTTCCCTACTGAAGGGAATTCCAATCCCCATTTTCCAGAATGGGAAGTCGAAGCTTGAAGTGGTTAAGTCACACACAGGGAACACAGTGAAGCTGGGGGTCAGCTCTTCCATGTCTCTGGCTACCTCCTATCTAGAAAATTCTCAATCCCTAAATTACTAAAGAAATATCCTCCCAGGTACCACCATCAGAGCCAGGGTCTGGAGGGGCTCCCTGGAAGTCCTAGGGGAAGTTCACACTGGGCACTGGGCACTGGGCGGCCCTCTCTTCCAGAGCTCACAGTCCAGGGCCAGCAGACAGTGTCTCCATCCTCTGGGGCTCTTTCCTTACCATACTCTGTTTGGTGGAAAATTCAGTCACTGCCCAGCTGCCACAGACCAGAGATCAGGGTTCTTGTCCAGTCTCTGCCTTCCTGTGGCACCTGAGTCTCAGTGGCACCTTGCCTGGGTTATTTAGGTATTTTCTCAGTCTTCACTTCCAAGTATTCCATCAGTCTCTCCTCCAGCAGCCTCTTCTCCAGGATCCACCCTGGGTGAGGTCAATTCTGAGGCAGGGTGGAAGCCATGCATCTCCCTGGGGCATGGGAGGAGGGTCAGGCGACAGTCAGGGGTCAGGAGACAGTCAGTGATGGTCACTAAGTTCTCCCACTCTGGATGAGGACCAGATGAGGCATTTACTTCAAAGTACACGATATAAGGAGGCAAGAAAAAAACCTCAATGATCAAGAAAAAGCAATGTAATTTTTTTCTTATAAATCGAAGTAACAAAATATAGGTCTGCTGCTTCTTGTCAGTAAAGATATGGGGCCCAAAAAGCCGAGGTCATCGCTGCCAGTGAATCTCGCCCAGGGCGATCTTGCCCCAAGCCCCACCCCTCCGCCCGGCTTTAGCTGGGGACTGAGGGAGGGACGGACAGTTGGCTGGCAGGACATCCCCGCTCAGAAAGGCCCCCGGAATCCCTAGAACAGAGCTGGCCTATTTGCCACTTGGCAACAAGCAGGCTGAGCGGCGGGTGAGCGCGCCCGGGAGCTTTTCAGAGACAGGATCTGGCACCAGCGGCGAGGGCGCTGAGCTTCCTTAGCTCACAATTGAGCAGGGGCCGGTGTGGTGTCGAGCTGTCCCCTAACCTAGAGGTCAGAACGTGCAGTAAGGGACGCGCAAGAGCCCCCCCCACCCCCCCCCCCGCGCGCTCGGTGTCCACGGCGGCTGGGACAAAGGCTGCAAGCCGAGCCCAGCCTGGGCTGCGGGAAGAGCTGAGCTCAGCGGTTCCTCTGCGCTTTGAGGAGCCAGGAGGACAGGGCGGAAGGGAAGGACATAAGACACAGGGAGGAGGCAGGCGGGGTGAGGGGTGCTGAAAAGCTGCCAGGATGGAAAACTGCGGAGGCAGAGGTAATTACTGGGCACCTCCAGGCACGTGCCTGGAGCCCCACACCCAGTTTAGAGGGAAAGGCACGGCCTGCCCAGCCTCACCCCCCACTTCATCCCCACAGTTCTTAGTGACATCACACCCTGTTGGCCAATCACCCCTCCCAAGAGCTTTGCCTGGTGACCTAGGGCGCCTTGAGGTTAGCTAGGCTTCTTAGGTGAAGTTAGCCTATTCCAATCAGCGGGCTAGGGCTCCTCTCAACCGGCCCTCTAAACCGTACCCTCAGGCCCATAAGGGTGCAGCAATTTTTACTTGAAGGATCTTACATCTTAAAGGT